CCAAATATATTGAAACCCTAACCAGGACTTCCCAATATGGCCTTATTTGAAAATAAGTTCTTTGCATATAATCAAGTTAAGTGGAAGTAGTTAGGGTGGGGGCCTAATCCAATATCAGGGTATCTTGGTTAAAAGGGGAAGCTGGACACAGTCACTTGCATGCACATGGCCTTCAGGTGGACATGAAGGCCAAGATCAGGGGGTGTGTATCTCTAAGCCCAGAAATACCAAAGATTGCCAGCAAATAACCAGAAACTAGGAGACAGGCCTGGATCAGATTCTTCCTCTGGTGAAACAAACCCTGCTGACTCCTTGACCTTGGGACTTCCAGCCTCCAGAGCTATGAGACAAATTTCTGTTTGAAAGCCAGTCCGTGTGGGGTGCTTGGTAAGGCAGCCCTGGGAAACTGACCATACCTCTTTAGTTTTCCCCCAACACCATTCGTCTGGTTTTCCTATCATTTCAGTGCCTGTGCTTCTTCCTCTGAATGTTGGCCTCAGTCCCTCCTGTTTTCCTGGCTTCTCAAACCTGAGTGATCTCGTCCAGTTCCATGGAATTAAAGGCAGCCTACATTCTGATGAGTTCCCTATCTGAACCCCAGACAACTCTCCCTTGGACTTCAGGTTCCATTCTACTCCTTCTCCAACTGGGTGTCTATCGGGTGTCTCAAACTTACCATGATTAAGTCAAAGGTCTTGACTGGGCTTTTCCACGTTAACTCTAAGCACCTACCTGCTTTACCATTGAACTAGACTCCCAGACCCAGGTTCATCTGTGACTCCTCTTTCCCTTTCGGGAATTGAACCCAAGGCAGCAGAATCCAGGACCTCACGCTTAGGCGAGCACTCTACCATTGAGCTACACCCTGAGTCCTACAATAATCTCTTGTAAATTGGGCCTGGTGGTGGCCATACCTGTAATCCCTGCTACTCAGGAGGCTGAGCGGCAGGATTGCAAGTTCAAGGCCAGCCCTGGGCAATTTTGGGAGACCCTGCCTCAAAATACGACAAAAAGGGTTGGGGATGTAAGTCAGAAGTAGAAATAACTTACCTAGCATGCCCCCTGGATCCAACCCCCAGTACTACAAAAAAAAAAAATAGCAACACTGCCTGCCACCTTTTCTCAAAACCCACCAATGGCATCCCCTTTACTCTATTAGTAAAGTCCAGAGTGCTGACTAAAAAAAAAAAAAAAAAAACTGTTCTTTTTAGATACACATGACAGTAGTGTGTATTTTGACATATTTTACATACATGGAGTATAACTTATTCTAATTAGGATCCCATTCTTGTGGCTGTACATGATATGGAGTTTTTCACTGGTTGTATATTCATATGTGAACTTAGGAAAGTTATGTCTAACTCATTCTACTGTCTTTCCTATCCCCGCCTTCCCTTCATTCCCCTTTGTCTAATCCACAGAACTTCTATTCTTTCCTCCCCCTCACCTTATAGTGAATTAGCATCTGCATCTGAAAACATTTGGCCTTTGGGTTTTGGGGATTGGCTTATTTCACTGAGCATGATAATCTCTAGTTCCATCCATTTACCAGCAAATGCCATAATTTCATTCTTCTTTGTGGCTGCATAATATTCCATTGTGTATTATATTTACCACATTTTCTTCATCCATTCATCTATTGAAGGGTACCTAGGTTGGTTCCATAGCTTGGCTACTGTGAATTGAGCTACTATAAACATCGATGTGGCCATGTCAGTATAGTATGCTGATTTTAAGTTCCTTTGGGTATATGCTTGCTGAGAGCCATTGCCAAGTAGGAATGACGCATGGCAATTTCTTTGTCAGCCTACCCCATGTTGCTTAGAGGAAGGACTCTCCATTGTGGAAATGGACTTGCCTTGGAACCAGGTCATTTGCAGTGACATTGCATGAAGTTTGAGTAAGGTGACCCTGCTCAAGGACCAGGGCGGATCTGGGTTTAGGGTGGATCAGGGTTTAGGGCAGATCAGGGTTTAGGGCGGTTCCAGGTTTAAGGTGATTCCTGCTGGGAATAGGGCGTATCCTGCTGCCTCAGGTGCCCGCCCACTCCTTCAGTTCCCTTTGAGTTCTCTCGGAGTGCCGGTGGATTTCCCCCAGAACGTGCAACGTGCGTCCGTCTAGAGTGCCGGTGAGAGGTCGGGAATAAAGACTTGCTGTTTGAATCTACAAGGCTGTGAGTGGCTCTTGATTTTGTGCCCAGCCAGACTGCGGCATATGCTGAGGAGTGGGATAACTGGGTCAAAAGGTGGTTCCATTCCAGGTTTTCTGAGGAATCTCCGTACTGCTTTCCAGAGTGGTTGCACCAATTTGTAGTCTCATCAACAATGTCTGAGGGGACCTTTCCCCAACATCCTTGCCAATGTTTGTTACTTGTATTCTTGATAATTGCCATTCTGACTGGAGTGAGATGGAATCTCAAGTGTGTGTGTGTGTGTGTTTAATATTTTTTAGTTGTCAATGGACCTTTATTCTATTTATTTATGTGGTGCTTAGGATCGAACCCAGTGCTTCACCACTGAACCAAGCACTCTGCCACTGAGCTATAACCCTGCCCTTCAGCGTGATTTTAGTTTGCATTTCTCTAGTTGCTAGAGATGTTGAACATTTTTCATGTATTTGTTGACCAATCATATTTCTTCTATGAAGTGCCTGTTCAGTTCCCTTGCCCATTTATTGATTGGGTTATTTGGGCTTTTTTGTTGTTGTTGTTGTTAAGTTTTTTTGAGTTATTTATAAATCCTAGAGATTAATGCTGTATCTTTACATGAGACTTTAAGGGGCTGGGGTTGTGGCTCAGCAGTAGAGCGCTCACCTAATATCATTAATTAATTAATTAATTATATTGTATCCAACTACAACGAAAAAATAAATATTAAAAAGAAGTAAAAGGAAAAAAATGAGACTTTAAAACTCAGTTCAAATATCTCCTCTGTGAAGCCCCCTCTGCCCATACCACCCCTCCTCTTTCCCTTTGTCACTGTACTATAATTGCAGTTGTCCCTGGGCATGGAGGTGGGTTTTTGTTTCAGGACCTGCTGCAATTACCAATATCCCCGAATCTCAAGTCTCTTATTATAAAAAATGGCCTAGTATTTGCACATAACCTATCCAATCCTTCCACATATTTAACTCATGTCCAGATTACTTATATTGCCTAACATAGTGTAAATGTTATGTAAACAATTGTTAGACTGCATAGTTTAGGGAATGCTGACCAAAATTAAAAAAAAAAAAAAATCTGCACTTGTTCAATTTAGATGCAATTTTTTTTTTTTTAAATATAAATATCTTTCATCCCTGGTTGAAATACAGAGCCACCAATACAGAGGGGTGACTGCCTCCCTTGCTATACTAAGTTCCTTGAGGACAGGATCCACACCTGGGTCATCTGAGTAGCCACAGTGCGCCTGACTCCTCACCTGCCCGAGGGCCCTCAGTGTTGTCTACCTGATCAGATACCTCAGACAAGTCCCAGCCATCAGAATTATCCATCCACTTAAAAATGCTACTTTTGTTGTTGTTGTTGTTAACCTTTGAAATCCAATCTAATCTTTCCCCTCCAAATCCCAGCAAGTTGGGTAACTTGGTTTTCATCCCCTCTTTGAAGTGGGAAAACCTGGCCTCCTGGGCCTCTGTTCTTCCCTGCTCTCCAGCAACCCTGTCCCCCACCCCCAGCTCTCATTCCCACTCCTCCCTCAGGAGGTTCAGGTTTCTACTCCACTTGGCCAGGAAATATCCTTGACTAAGACTCTTGCCAGACTCAAGTTTTAACTTTTAAAAGATCCATAGGGACTTGTCCAGAACAGCCATAACCCCTCAAAGGCACTTAGAAACATAACAGGTAACATTTCTACTGTTTACTGCTGCAAAATCCCCTGGAAACGCCACAAAATTCCCCAGTCTTATGAAATAAGACTCCTCACCAGAGAGTTTTTAACAACTTCTGGGTAAAATGTTTGAACAAGGGTCACACCCCCTGCATCCTCCATTTGGGGGTTCACTTCTGGGCTATAATTCTGCTCTAACAGCTTGATAGTTACCAGGCGCCCCAAGAGGTTCAGTTTCTTTTATAAAATGGAGTTGGTTAAACAGCACTAGATAGTAAACTTTCCCCCCCACCCCAGTACAGGGGCACTCAGCCACTGAGCCACACCCCCAGCCCTATTTTGTATTTTATTTAGAGACAGGATCTCACTGAGTTGCTTAGGGCCTGGCTTTTGCTGGCTTTGAACTTGCAATCCTTTGACCTCAGCCTCCCTAGCTGCTGGGATTACAGGCGTGTGCCACCACGCCCTACTTTAAATTTTTTGAGATAGTATTCTGCTAATTTGTCCAGGCTGGCCTCCAACTTGGAATCTTCCTGTCTCAGCCTCCAGAGTTGCTGGGATTAACAGGCACTTGATACCATGCCCAGCTTAAACTTCTTAAATACAATTAATTGTTTTAATTTATTTCTATAACCTTCAGCTGCAGATCTGGTACAGGAAACAGTGTATAATTCCAGATGTACCCTCACAATGTGAGTGAAGACATGCCACTAGGTAGCACCAATACATTCATTATTGACAGAATTAATGAGCCATAGCTACTTCCCGAAGTGACTGTATTTAAAAACAAAAACAAGACATAATATATATTAAAACACTCCGGAAACTATCAAATAGTACATCAACTCCAGTGGTTGCATAATACATTTGCCTTCAGAGTCAAACAAACCTGGGTTCAAATCCTAGTTCCAAGACTGACTGGCTGTGTGCCCTCAGGCAAGTTACTTAATCTCTCAAACCTTTAGTCTCCTCATCTGAAAAATGGGGATAATCATGTCTATCTGATGAAGTTCTTCTGAGGCTAGATTCATCTGACAAAGGTGAAATTGCCTTCAGCAGTGAGCCAGGAGGGCACATATATGTTACCATTTGTAAAACCCCTATCATTATTCTTCATCTTGTGCATCAGAGGCTGTCATCTAAACCTTTACACATCCATGTTTAAAATGGTAATTTCGTTTTTCTCAAATGTCATTTATTAGAAAATACAATTCCAGAGAAAGTAGAAGATACAAGGGGTTTGGGAAGTGGGTACAGTACACAGACCTCTTTACATCAGGAGTGTAGAGTCAAAATGTGCTACGGGCAAAAAGCCAGTAACATTTATGGTCCATACATCTGGAATAGTTCTGCCGATTCCCTCTCCCCCAGCCTGTCTCCTCTGCAGCCAGCTTATCCCTGGCTTTTAAAATGTAAGACAAAGATTGAAACTTCCTTGCTGTTCTGTGGCTTCAATGAATGGAGCTTCTTTCTTGGCAATGGAAAGAGTCAGAAAAAAAGGGAATTTCTGACCCTTGGAGTTGGGGAGGAGGCTGGTAGGGGACAGTTTGCAGAATGTCCTCTTCACTCCTTTCCCCACTCATGGGGCAGATCCAGCCAAGTGTGGTTTAAAAATTTAATATCATATCCAGAGTCTCTCCCTCTTTTCTCTTTCTGAAGGAAGACAACCCTTGGGGGAGGAACGCAACAGTGAATTTTAAAATCCATCTGTTAGGGAATAAAGAGTATAGAGAGGTAAGAGCCCCAGGTCCCTCCCTCCCAGCCCCTGAGCTCAGCTCCAGCGTGACAACCACGGCTCCCATTGAGCCTCCTGACCAATCGCTGGGAATAATAAGGGGGTGGGCGGAATCCCTTGCCCCGTGATGCTTTGCTTCAGAGTGGGCATCCCTTTGGCTCCAGACTACGTAGGTTGATGGCCCCACAGAGGGAGGGAAATTCTTAGAAAACATGTGACAGAAATGAATTTGGGAAGAGAAGCAGCTCGGCTGGAAGAAGTGGGGGGAAACGGGGGGATGCCCTCAGAAACTAAGCAGCAGGCAGCAGCCCTGGCACCTGCCACCTAGAGGCCTCCGCCTGGGGCCAGGGCACCCTTGGGTGTCCCACCATTCTGCCCCACTAGGAAAAGGGGAGAAACCTATGGGGAAGTGCCCCCAGCGTATTCACAGGGACTATAGGGCCCACTGCAGGGCCAAGAGGGCTAGAGGGGCGGGGGGAGGGACAGTATTCAGGCTGAGTCCTAACAGAGAAGGGGAGATGGGGAAAACCCCCTCCCCCTACAGAGCATGGGTCCCTGAATACAGGTCCTTGGCAGGAGCCCGACATGGAAGGCCCTTCCTTACACATGTAGGTATCGCGTCGCTCTCCTTTGGAGGCAAAATCAGAACAGCCCAGTGGTGCAGGCCTCGGTCCAGCACAGACCACCCTCCCTGTCCCTCTCCAACCTGCCCTCAGACAGGGGGAGGCATTGACCGAGACCCACTGGGCCCCTCCTCAAATAATTCCTATAGCTAGAAAAAAACAAAAACAAAAACAAAAATCCTAGGGAAAAGTCCAATAAGAACCTTAACCATACAAAAGTCCAAAGAGTCTTGCCCTCTTGCCTTCTGAGGCATATGTACGTCCCTTCTCGCAAAAAGCTTCCTGTCCCAGTTAGGACAACATTACTATTTCATTTTTTAAAAATAAAAATAAAGATATCCACCCACCCTCCCCTCAAATGCTACCTCGTCCGGCCCACCCCACACACACCCCAAACCAGGCATTGCTCCCTTGACACAAGGTAAACTTAAAACTCTGCTGCAGCCTCTCAGCTTCCAAGGGGCCGCTCAGCACAAACCAGCAACTCTAGCTCAGTCCGCAGAGGAAGGGCTGGCAGAGAGCACCCGACTCTCCCTGCCTCTTCTCATGGAGGCCAGGTCCACCTGGACGGAGGAGGAGGCCCACTAAGAACGCCGCCCCTTCCCCGAGTTAAACGGCAGAGCAGGGGAGAGTCCACTGCCCCAGGTCCAGTCACCAGCTGGAGGTCCCGGGCTGTGGCTCCCATGGGCTCACAAGGTCCCATGGCCCCGAGACCCCAGCGCGAACCAGCCAGTCTTCTCCTGGGCCAGGTCCAGCTCCCGCAGGCGGATGTGCACCTCCCCGAGGAGGACGTTCTCCCAGAATCCTTGCTCACTTAGCACGCTCAGCTGGAGCTCCCGCTGCCGCAGGTCTCCCTTGGGAATCCCATCGTACACCAACTGCAAACACAGGGGACAGGGGCGTGGTGAGAGAGAGAAGGGGCACAGGCCACAGGGGACAGGGAGGTGCTCATGTCCCTGTTGGTGGGATCTGGCTGTGGCTGAGACCACTTTATTTCTTCAGACCAGCAGAGCCCAAGGGAATACAGGAAGCACACAGAATCCAAGGGAGGCATTTGAGAACTTTGTTCTCTGCTTAGAGTTCAAGCAGGTGAGGGCATTTTATTGGGGTCACTGGTCATTTCCAGCCCAGGACTCCCTTGCTCCTGCTCCCCGCAGGACAGGGCTCAGGCCTCAGTTCTGGACTCCCAACCCGAAGGGTCAGAGGCTTTTTATGTAAAGGAACACATGGCAAATATTTCTAGACTTTCGAAGTAGAGTCTGTGCCAAAACTACTCAAGCCTGCCATTGCTACATGAAAGCCGTCACAGACGACGCCTAAATCACAAGTGTGGCGTGTCCCAGTGCAACTTTCTTTTTAGGAACAGGCATAGTTTGCCAAACCCTGCCCAGCCCTGCCATGTCCCCTACACACCATCTCATTGTAGGTAGGGTTGCAGGTTTTCCGGGCCACTTTGGTTTTCCTTTTAGTGGTTTTCTGGGGGTCAGGAAGGAGGTAAATCTTCACATAGGGGTCAGGGTCGTTCCCATCCTGAAGCTGTTGCTAAAATTAAATTAAAAAAAAAAAAAAGATGAAGATTCTTACAGCAGCTGTCTCTTCCTCACAATGCCTGTGATGACACCCTAAGCCAGACTTTCTCTCCACATCTGGCTTCCTGCAGCGCACACCTAATTTGTTTGTCAGCTTCCAGCTCACACCATTCTGATAAAAATATCTCCTGTGACCGTGTTAGGTATCCTACGTCATTCAGATCCAAATGCTCAGGTCATCCCATAATGTGGTCTGTATTGAATGACCCACCCCCCCCCCCCCCCCCCCACATCCCACCCCAGCCCCCAGGCATCTTCTTATGGTGCTATTTTGTCAATTGGTCCATTTAACCCCTAAGAGGTGGAGCTATGAGTCAGAGTGATTAAGTTCCCTTATTCAAGGTCAGCCAACTAGTGATTCACCATATTAACATATTAATCCTTTTTTGGTTGGATCCAACCCGTGACACGTTAAGCTATATATTCCAGCAATGAGAAATGACCCATCTGCCAAACTTGATCCTTTTACTGTCCGGAATGAATGGAGGCTCGGAGGAGATACAGGGTGTGCAGTTGTGAGGCAGTGCTTGTCACTTAAGGGTTATTGTAAAGCTGAAATGTAATCCTACGGGAATATAGTAAGGCTCACGTGAGATAGCAGCTATTTTGTTTTGTATTTTTGTTTTAGTGCTGCTGGGGAGGGAGGCCAGGGCCTCCCCCGTGCGAGGCAAGTGCTCTACTGGTAGCTACATCAAGCCCTAGATATGCATTTTAAGCTCTTTATAAAACAGCAAGCTCTGTGCAGAGTCGGGGATGCAGCGGTGGTTAAATAAACCACATGTGTACCATTTTGCCCTGGGCTTTCCGGGGAGTGTTGGGAGGACCGCGACCAGGCACCTGTGTGGGCTGCTCTCCACCATACAGAAGGGCACCAGGTTGTTTGAGGGGGGGGGCACAGAAGTGGGCTTGCTGTATGCATATGAGTCTTAGGGCCATTGGGTGGGTCTGATGTCCCTTGACCACATGACAGCAGGCTGCTCGCAGCCACCCAATAGAGCTCTGATCCTGAGCCTTACATCAGCTAGTCAGCTTTGTGTCACTGTGACAAAATGCCCGACAAGAACAACTTAGAGGAGGGAAAGTTTCATTCGGCTCATGTTTTAGCGACTCAGTCCATGGTGGGCTGAGTCCTGCGCTCTGGGCCTGTGAGGAGGTAGAGCCTCACGGTGGAGGAGAGCGGCTCAGGTGAGCCTCACTGTGAGGTAGATCCTAATATTATCCTTCCTATAATGAGGCTAAGTATTTAGGATATTGCCAAAGCACACAGCTAGCAAGCTGCTGGGTCTTGAATTGCCTGGTCATGCTACAGGCTAGCATGGGCAGGCCCCTGGAGGAAGCTCAGTAAACTTTTGTGGTTACTCTCAGACATGGGGGCAGAGGAGGTCTGACTACTCTAAAAAAAATACCTGAAGAAAGATAAAGAACCAAATGAGGGTTGTGTGTGCACTTACCAAGCCTCGAATGTGCATCACCATGATGAAGAGCTTGTTGTTTTTGTAGGAAATGGACAGCTTCACCTCCCCTCCCACCTTCCCGACAGTCCGGGCCCATGTGCCATCTGCAGGGACAAAGGAAACTTTTGTCAACAGGCTAGCCGTGTTCCCCACTGGTGCCAGGGAGGTATTTCTACTTTCTTTTTGAACCCCCTGTGCTGGTCCTTCCATAACTAGGAAGGGGATCAACAAGTGTGACTGGTATCTAACACGAGTTAGAGGGTGGGATCACTCTACCAAGCCCAAGAGTGTATTTACTAACTGAATATCCAACCTCTGGGGAACCCGACCAAGGAGTTGTGGACCCACAGTGTGAGTGGGAAAACAGATTTCCTAACCAGTAAGAAGAGGAACGGGGACAAGCCAAAGAGGGACAAGCCAAAGGAAAAAAAAAACCTGAAGAGATGAGGGCAGGAGAAGTGACCCTTTGTGGTTCCGAGGGGTTGGCAGGAGCATCTCAGGGCAGGTACTGTACCTGAGGACTTAGGGGCTGGGCTGGTGCCTGCAGCCTTCTCATCCCGGGGTAGGGGGTGGAAGAAGGTGTACACCAGATCACACTGGAATGGAATCAGAAAACATGGCCATTCTTTAGTAAGATAAAGGCCCAGTTTAAAAAAAAAAAGGAAAGACTGTTCTAAATTAAAAGAGACTATGAAACCTAACAACCAAATGCAATACACAGTTCTTGTCTGAGCAATGGCTCTAATAAATAAAATGTAAAAAGAGTTTGGGGAGTGATAGGGAAATTTTGAACATGGGCTATGTATTGGATGATGTAATGACACTATAGTTATGTAAGAATATATTTTTACTTTTTAGAGATGCACACTAAGTATCAGGATGCCTGTAAATTGCTTTAAATACGTCATAAAAATAGATGGAGCAAATATGGTAAAATACTGTTTAGGAATGGGTCTATAGGCACTAACTATATTGTTTCTCTACTTTTCTGTATGTTTGAAAGCTTTCATACTAAAATGTTCTTGAAAAGGAAAAAAGAAGGCAAGCACAATGTAATCCCAGCTACTCAGGAGGCTGAGGCAGGAGGAGGATTGCAAATTCAAGGCCAGCTTTAGCAAGTCAGTGAGAACTGGTCTTGAATTAAAAAAAAAAATTAAAAAGGGTTGGGAAATGTGACTCTGTGGTAGAGCAACCCCCAGTAGTATAGGGGTGGGGGGACAAAGAGAGAGGGAAAGAAAGAAAAAAGGAAAACTAGGTTGCTTCAGGTTAAAATCAGAGTGTTCTTTTCTACACTGCTTCCCCGATCAACACACATATCACTCCAGCACAAATGCTTGAGTCAGCCTGGGATAAGAGCACAGATCTTGTTCTGGAGAATGTTCTCTAATGAGGGGAAGCAAAAACAAAATAAAAATCTTAAATATGTGCAAATGACCACTTGAGCATTAATAGTGGGAAAAAAATGGAATACTCTAATCTTTCAAAAGGCAAAAGGTTGAGATATGATACCGCCAATCCGTGTACTAATTTGGTTCAGATATTTAAAGCTGTGGCATATGCTTGCCACAAATGCTAAGGGAAGAAAGTCTAAGAATATAGGTTTATATTTAAGCCATGGCCATCATCAAACTGTAAAAATCATGCCTGCATACAGATACATAGGAAGAAAACATAGAAAACAAAGTCAGATGATTTGCTGGAGAAATGGGATTCCCAGGTGACCATAGTAGGGCCATTATAATATCATTTGTTTAAAAAAAAAATGTGTGTGTGTGTGTGTGTATAAATAAAATCAACCTGCTCAAAATTCTCTTTTTCCTTAAGAGGCACCCCTCTCTCTCTGCCTTCACAAGTTCTGATCAGTGCAGTCACTCCAGGATCTCAAATGCTGTTGTCTCTCTGGGACCCGGTTGTAGTAATGTTTGTTTTTGTTTTTTTTTGGTCGGGGGGGGGGGGGTGTGTGTGTGTGTGCCAGGAATTGAACTCAGGGGCACTCAACCACTGAGCCACACCCACAGCCCTATTTTGTATATTTAGAGACAGGGCTCACTGAGTTGCTTTAGCACCTTCTTTTGCTGAGGCTGGCTTTGAACTCATGATCCTCCTGCCTCAGTCCTGAGCTGCTGCGTTTACAGTGTGCACCACGGTGCTAGCTACAGTAACATTTTTATTTACTTGTTTATGTGCGTGACACTTTCCTGTCCCTCATGGGCCCATGCTGTCCTCTCAGATCCAGGCCACTCCAGCAGACCCAGAAGCGCCAAGTCTCCTGCGTGACTCTCCAGGATGGAGTCCTCCTGCCCCCTTCCCACACCTAGCCTCATGGAGGTGACAGCCGGGATGCAGAAGGCAGGCAGACCCACCTCGGCCACCTCAGGGACTGCATGGATCAAGTGCCAGATGTAGCCATTTAACTCTTCCTTCCTTCGCTCTGCCACCGCCTCTCCACGGGACCGGCCAATCACGAAGCGACTCGGGAAGCTGGTGAGGCAGGATGGGCAGCGGGGAAGATGGGGAAAGAAAATAAGGCAGCAGGCGTTTTCCATTTCATCTTATTTCCCAGCAGCTTCCCTCCCCGGGAATCCTCACTCCACTTGACTCCACCCTGGCTCCCAGGTCTGTGCCCAGGTTTAACACGGCACACTCACAAGGACCCCAAACCATACTAAATTGTTGGGCAGAGTCCCGTGCTCCTCAAAAGTGCCCCTGGGGCTTTGGAGCCTCCAGTTTCTCTCTTTGGTGTAAAAATTCATTTGAAAAATGAATTGAAATAATTTTTTTTAATTATGGGGAAATATACATGACATAAAATTGACCTATCTAGGGCTGGGGTTGTGGTTCAAGTAGTAGAGTGCTTGCCCAGCAAGTGTGAGGCACTGGGCTTGATCCTCAGCACCACATAAAAATAAAATAAAGATATTGTATCCACCTAAAAAACTAAAAAATAAATATTAAAAAAAATTGACCTATCAATCTTTACTGTTCATGGTATTAAGTATATTGACAATGTTGTACCACCACTATCTCCAGGAGTTTTTCATCTTGCAAAACTGAAAACCACCCATTAAACAATACTGCCTCAACTACCATTCTATGTTATGTCCCTGTGAATCTGATTAGTCTAGGTAACTCAGATGAGCAGAAGCACAGTTTTTAATCTAGGACTGGCTTATTTCCTTTAGCATCATGTCCTCAAAGTTCACTCAGGTTGAGTTACCTGTTGGAATGTCCTACACCCGCCCCCTGCTTTGTCTTTCTTTTCTTAACAAAAAAAAAAAAAATTTTTTTTATTTATTTATTTTAGGTGTAGATGGACACAACACAATGCCTGTATTTTTTATGTGGTGCTAAGGATCGAACCCGGGTTTCGCCAGTGCTAGGCAAGCGCTCTACTGCTGAGCCACAATCCCAGCCCCCTACCCCCCGCCTTCTTTTTTTAAAATATTTTTTTAGTTGTCAATGGTTATATGCAGTGCTGAGAACTGAATCCAGTACCTCACATGCTAGGCAAGTGCTCTACCACTGAGCCACAACCCCAGCCCCTGTCGTTCCCTTTTAATGTCCAATAATAATATTTCATTGCATGTATATACCACGCTTTGTCCAACTGAAAAATGACCTAACTCTTTAATAGGTTGGAAACTGAAACATCTTCAGATTCAAACAAGGCCCCCTGCCTTTGCAGATGGGCCCAAGCTTACTTTCAAGGTTAGAGCAAGTGCACTGGCGTGTCAGGAGAGCTTGGCCAGCAGGGGGAGCACTTTTACCAAACTCAATACTAGGCCAAGTAATGAAGAGAGATGGGTATTCCTGCCAATCCCATCCCTTCCCCTCTCAGCCTCTCTCTGTGCAGGGAGTAAAGGGGAAGCTACCTGGGCAAGAGGGAAGAAGGGAAGAGCAGCCGAAGCTTATTGTGTAGTTCCTGGAACTCCTCAAACGTCCGCTGGATGTAAGTGGCTTCGTGGGCATTTTCCCGCATCACCTTTACCACGTATATCTGCAAAGTTTCAAATCGTAGAGTCTACCTGTCAGACCCTCTGCCCCCAGTGAACTCATGGGTAGGTAAGGGAACTGAAGGGTGTACGTGTTGGGGAGCAGAAGGAAGAGGTCAAGAGAGTCTCCAATGGAGACAAAGCACATACACAGGAACTGAAAGCAAAGATTTCCTGTGCCTGTTTCTTTGGACCCTTGACTCAGAGGGAATTTTTTTACCATCTAATTCAGCTCTCTGATTCTAGCAGTTCACTTGAGCAAGGAAAAAGGAAGTGATCTGGGACTGTTCCCAGCACAGGAGGCTCAATGAAGTCCAGTGTCTGCTGCATGGGTGTGAATATTCAGAATCCCAAGGAGCCTGGGTCAGTGGGGAGCAGGACAGGGTCAGAGAGGAGGAAGTACTTACATAGCCCTTGTTGGGGTGGAAGATCTTCTCATGCCGGCAGAGAAAAACATCACTGATGCGGCCAGAGCTCTTTAGAGTGTGCGTTCGGGGGGCAAAGGAAAGGGTCAGCCGGTCATCTGAGCCCGTGAACTTCATCTGAGCCAGGTTATGGATGAAAAAATTGAGCTTTGTGGCTACACTGCCCAAGCTGGACTCAATCAACCTGTGGGTGCGTGAGGACAGGAAGAAAAAGGCACAATCTTGGACCCAAGTCCCCTCTGCCATGACAGAGCTAATAAAGTAATATTTCCTGACTCCTGAGATTAACACCAGATAAAACCTCTTTTGCTGTGTAACATCCTCATGGAGGACATGACTGACACTCAACCACCTCGTGATGTATATTCATGTGACTCCTGGGGTCTTATTTTCCCTCTGAGTTGATGTCTTTAGACATTCAAACTAAGGCAGGAAGAAGTTAGAGAAGAGCACTGAAGGGTCACCTCATAAATGTCTAGATAGTGTCATCAAACTGAACTCAAGGTTTAGTACAAAGGGACCTCACCAAGGAAATCCAGAGATTTCAACTTAAAAGTGAGGTCCCATCAAGAGGGAAGGATCTGACCCAGAGAACTAAAATCTATTACAAAATCCCTGTCCCCCATGCCCCATGCAGTCTTTGGCTGAGACCTGGTGAGAGTGCAGGAAAGAGTGGTGACAATATTCCTAAATACAAAGGTTGACACCAAAATGCAGACAGACACCCAAAGCTGGAGAGAAGTGATTTGCCAAAGTTAGAGGCCAACTTGGGACAACAGATCCAACACTAGGCTCTGCCACCTGAGCTAAGAAGCCTTTCCCATTTCTCTAGCCTGCTCCTGCCAATCAGGCAACCTGGGAGTGATGCAGGGTGGGCAGCAACTGGTGTGAGCCAGAGTTACCTAGTGAAGTAGGTGGTAGCATTGGCCTCTGTGTCCTGAGGCCTCAGGGCATCATACACATACTTGAGGTCCTCCAGGTCTGAGAGCTCGGGGATCCCACAGGACAGCATCTAGGAGAGGAGGAGGGAGGGTGTCTGTAACAATAGAGAGATCTTGCTTCTTCCCAACCCTAAGGCAAGATTTTCTATAGCTAGGCTCTCTGATCCTTCTAGATGGTGGCAGACAGATGCTGTGGGCAGTGGCTTGAGGACCCCAGGAACTGAGGGACCGCAATGGGTCAGATAGCATTGTCCCTAGGTAGGGTAAGTCCCTGCCCTTATCTAGGGCACACAGGAACTCAACTGGGGCTCAGAGAAGTGGATCTCCAGGAATTCTTTGAAACAAGCCAGGGCAGTCTTTAAAGCTGGCACCAGGTCACAAGAAGGGGGTTTTCAGATGGGGCAGGGAGCTCCTCACCAGGCCCAGAAGGTTGAGGAAGAGGTGGGTGTGCTTGCGAATGAGGTTGTAGGCTTGGCAGCAAAGGTCAACAAAATCATGGAAGCGGCTGGAAGGCTTGTCACCCCCGTTGATGACATACGCCATGTCCGAGGTGAAGACAAAAGGGGCACGGTCCCTGGGCCAAGGGGAACATACAGGCAGAAGGTCAACGTGGAGGAGGGAGCCCACCTGGTGGGCTGCGTGTGGGGGGGTTCCCTCATCCCAAGTATGAACCTGGATAGATGGGCTCTTTCTTTCTCTGCCCCTACCTTAATCTTAAAAGATCCCCAAGATAGATGTCCCACATCCTCCACTGGCTCCTTATCTGTGAGCTAGCAATATTTTCTCCCAGTTTCTTATTATGTTCCTTTTTTCTGAGTTTGGGCTCATTCCCTTTGCTCAGTCGTCAGGAAGGGGAGAGATCAACAGCTCCCCACCTTCTTCTGCAAGGCGCTGCCAGGACCTGATCTCCTTATGAGTCTCCTCTTCTCCAAAGCTGCTCAGCCCAGGGACGATGCACAGGCTTGTGTCCAGTCTAAACCATTCCTGCTGACCTCCCTGCCCTTCATACATGACATAGACATCTGGCTTCCGGAGACCACTTACCGCTTGATGTTGCCAAACATCTGGGCGTGGCCCAGGAAGCGGCCAAAATCTATGTGGAACATGTGACCAGTGGTCTTCAGCATGATGTTGTCATTATGTCGGTCACAGATGCCCAAGACATATGTGGCCACACAGCAGCCAGCACAGGAGTAGATGAAGTTCTCCACAGCCTGGAACAGTGAAGGCAGGTGAGAGGAGAGGACATGAAGCTGGCTTCAAGGGACTCTGGGGTCACAGCCAGACCAAATTCAGCAGCCCTGGCCTCAGTCTCTTATGAACCCCAGCAGCACCTCATATCCGCCTGTTCACCTTTACTGCATGTTAACACATACAGTGCACGCGTGCACCCACAGGACCCTCTCCCATGGATGCTGGAGGAGGAGATGCAAGGACTGTATGTCTGAACTTCATCTTCTTCTGGGAGACGGGCTGGAACGACAGTGACTGGTCCAAAAGCCCTGACATGAGCAGCCCAGACTGGGCTGAACTTAATGGACAGAAAGAGGGACGTTTACAACACTCCCAGTGGGTCACAATGACCCTAACTCAAGCATGGCTACCAAGACAGCAGACTTACGGGCGCCATCCTGACCCTGTACAGATTTCTTCCATCCTTCATGCTCCAAATAAAACCCCCTTCTCAGAACTCTTGGTAACAGCTCCACGCCTATCTAATTAAAGTCACTGCATTCCAAGGAAGAGCTGAGGCAGCTTCACACTTCTAAGGAGTGTTTTGCACTTGAAAATCAGACCTCTCTACTTTGCAAAACGTGTTGGAGATATTTTTGAATTTAAAGAAGGAGGGTTGGTAGTGAGGGGTTGGGTCTAGTTGACATTTGTCCCCTTATCTTTTTTTTGTGTGTGTGTGTATGTGTGTGTGTGCGCACGCTGGGGATTGAACCCAGAGCCTCAAACATGCTAGTCAAGCACACTACCATTGAGCTACATCCCCAGCCCTTTATTAAAAAAAAAAAAAAATTATTTTGAGACAGAGTCTTGCTAAGTTGTGGACGCCAGCCTTGAACTTGGGATCCTCCTACCTTAGTCTCCATAGTACCTGAGACCCTTATCTGTCTTTTGAGAAAGTGAAAATAAAAGGCATCCTTTTTGTGAGATTTGAAGAATTCCCAAGAGCTCACGAAAAATGCAGAACACGATAGCCAGCTAGGAAGGGACCAAATTGAGAATATGAGAAAAAACTGTCACAACCAACTAGGACTGTAAGGAACTGGGAACAAGAGAGAGCTTGCCAGACCCAGCAGACCTGCCCTCCCTGCCTCCCTCTGTCCTTCAAGGACCCACATCTTTCCACACGCTTTGAGCCCCTCCAGACTCACGGCCACCACCATTCACTGATTGCCTATCTAACCTCTTCCCAAGTTTAGGGATCTGATTTCCCAACAGCTTCTAGGCTGTTCCACAAGACCCACTCTTCAGCCAGCTACTCAACCCACCCCTTTCCAGATACTTGTCCAATCACAACCAGATGACTAATCCACTGGAAACTAAGAATAGAAGTTTGTAAAGACATCACAGAACTCATCTTCTGGAAGAAAAAGACCATTTCTAAAAAGGGAAATCTATGAATGAAAATAAACCATCCAAGAAGGAGCATAATCCATCCTCTCCCAATCTTGACCTTCATCTCCATCAATCCTCTCCTGTCATAGTGGTTTTTTTTTTGGGGGGTGGGCAGGGGTACTGAGGATTGAACTCAGGGGCACTTGAGCACTGAACCACATCCCCAGCCCTATTCTGTATTTTATTTAGAGACAGGGTCTCACTGAGTTGCTTAAGGCCTCGCTTTTACTGAGGCTGGCTTTGAACTTGCAATCCTCCTGCCTCAGCCTCCTAAGCCACTGGGATTACAGGCGTGCACCACCACACCTGGCACAGGTGTCCTTTTTATCTTAAATGAGTCCTATGTTGGCTCACAAAAGAGCTGTGTGCCCGGGGGTTAATGATTAAACTTGACTCCCCGAGTTAGGCAGTGCATAGTGGGTCCCTGGCAAAAAAAAAAAGAAATCTCACTCTAGAAATGGGCACCCTCCTGCTTTCAAGAGATTATCTTGTAGGATATGGGGTGCTACCTGGCTGAATACATAGTCAAGAGAAAACCCATCTCTAGTTCTTTTCTTCTGGAAGTTACCATCAGAAACTACCAGCATTGTCCTACCAAAAAGGCTTCCTTTGAAAGGCTGAGATTAAACATTAATATGCAAAGTTAGTTCTGTGTGAGTGTACACCTGTTGCACACACTTCTGTCACATTTATCGTGACTCTTTAGTACACTAGCATGGAGTCATTACAATTCTAGCACCTTGCACGGTGCCGCTTTGTGGTGGGTGTTCAACACCTGAAAATACATGTTAACATAAATAGCATGTGGGCTTGGAGGAGGGAGGAGGAGGATGAGGCTGCAGAGTAGGGAGGGCCGGAACACAAAGAGCTTTGTGTGCAGGGCTGGGCAGGTTGGATATGCCACGCAGCACTTTGAAGAACTTAGAGCAAAGGAGTGGGGTGAACAGGCTTGCACTTCAGAACCCCTCAGGAATGAAGCAGAGGATGGTGACAGAAGGAGGAGAGGCATTTTAGGGGTTCCGGGGACAGATAGCAATTGCTGGACAAAAGTGATAGTAAGGAAATAGAAAGAAGAGGACACACTGGTGAGAGAAGTGAAGGGAGAATCAGCAGGGCTGGGTCCTGCAGGAGGGAGGCAAACGGAAATTTCTGGAACTCCACGGCTCTGGCTTGGGTGATTTGCACAGAGTCCTACTGTTTACTGATGAGAAACCCACACAAAAAAAGCAGGCTTCAGGAGGTGAAAGAGAGGAAGAAAGTTCGATTTTGCTTCCACTGCTTTGAAGTGTGTGAGAATGGAAAAGTACAATAAGCCGGTTCCTACAGAGTATAAAGTGGGAGGAGGGAAGAGGGTTAGGGAAGGGCTTTGGAAGTCATCAGCACATGGGTGGGAGGAGAAGAGAGGATGAGCTGGCATAAGGAGCCAGCAAAGAGAGCTAGCAAGCCAAGGATTAAACCCTGGGGATGCAAACACTCAGGGCCATTTAAGATCATTTAATTACACATCCACTAAACAACAGTCTGGTTATAATTTGGCTGCCCACGTGGGTCTAAAACACACTGATCAGTGTAAATTAGTATTTGGAACCTTCAAGGTGAAATGCAGTAGAGCGTTGGCCTAGCCTGTTGGAGGCCCTGGGTTTGATCCTCAGTACCACATAAAAGTAAATAAAATAAATGTTTAAAAAAAAAGAAAGAAATTTATATAAATTAGCATTCAGGCACTATTATTATTATTATTATTATTTTGATAGCAGCAGGGATTGAACCCAGGGATGCAGTTTAGCCACTGTGCCACATCCCCAACCCTTTTTAAAATTCTAAGATAGGATCTCAATATGTAGCCGAGGCTGGCCTCAAACTTGGGATTCTCCTGTCTCAGCTTCCTGAGTAGATGGAATTACAGGCATGCCCAGCCCAAAGTTCCCCTTCTAATCTAATCTTTCATCTCTCAGGACTTAGGCAAGTCTCTTTTCTAGCCTCTGATCTCCTGCCTAACGTCAGACCTGGATTCATGTTACAGCCTGCACAAACCAGCTCCACAACTGGAAGAAGAGAGTCTTAATTTGCATCCCTGAAAAGGTGGTGTTGGATTAAAGTGATGTCTAACTTGTCTTCCAACCAACTCTAATCCTCATCCAGTATCACAGAAGCCCTCTGAGAGCGCAAGAGGAACCAACCCAGGACGCATGAGTAGCATGAGTAGGAGGCACAACAGGTCTCCCAAAGATGGCTCGGCTCATCTGAGATAGCTCACTGCTAGGGGAACTCATGTCCTGGTTTCCCAGGACAATACCAGGCTACTTCCTCAGTCTGCCCACAACAGTCACTCTGACCTATCCCTGCATATACAGAGGGTGCAGGTCTTGCAATAATAGAGCCACATGCCAATCATGCACACCCACCCCAGCTTTGGACTGCAAGGCTCCCAATCCTACCTTCTCATACTCATCCTCTCCAGGATTGTGTTTCTGCAGCCAGTCTGCCAAGGGCCGGTCCTTAAAGGAGCCGGTCACCCCATGTTCCACCTGGATCTTGCGTAGAGTCTCGGCATTAGGAATCATCTCTACCATGCCTGTGAGAGAAAGGATTGGGATCACGCTCAGAGCAGAGTGAAGGGGACTGTAAGGGAGAGGCTGTGCTGGGTGCCTCCCTCCAAGGCCTTTGGACAAAGTCTGCTTAGGAGGCAAGCGGAATGGAAGAAAGGAAGGTTGCACCCCAAAGCTCCTCCTCCAGACCATGAGCCCCTTGGTCTTCTCAGTTCATGGCTGCTGCACCTTTTACTATGGAAATCTTCAAATTTATAAGATATAAGAATAAAGAGAGTGGTTTCAGCAATTCATAGGTAATCATCACCCAGCTTCAAAACTTATATAGACGTTTTGCTAATCTTGTTTGTCTATTTCACCTACGCAACTAGTTTCCCCACTTCCCACCACCTTGGCTGGGGTACTTTAAAAAGCAAGACCCAGGCATATCATTTCACTCACAAAGATGTCAAGTCTAATTAACAAGGACACCATCACCATGCTATTGTCACATCCAAAAAATGAATGATTATTTTTTAATCTAATTTAAATCAGTCTGAACTCAAATTTTCAAAAAAAAAAGCCTTTATAGTTGGTTTGTTTGAATCAGGATCCAAAGTCTACATGACACATTAAGTTGTTATGTCCCCAAGTCTATTTTATTTTATAAAGTCTCTCTCCCTTGCCTTCTGTTTCCATGCCACTCCACAGCTTTTACTGAGATAACCTTGACCTTTTCATTTTCCTGGAGAAGTACATGTTGGGGAGCGAGCAGAAGAAAAGGGGTCCCCTCCACACCGTCTGCCTCCCTTCACCTGCCTTCCCAGCTCACCTCTCCCTCGGCCAGTGGAGAAGCAACGGAAGATGACCATGCGCATGTCCAGCCCCTCCTGGACCCAGATCTTGCTCATGATGCGAATCATCTGCAGGGTGAGCATGTCCTGGCGAAGGTCATCCCCACACTGGAGAGAGGAAGAAAATGACCCAAACCCATCTCTGCCATGTGTCCCCAACCCCTGGCCTCCAGCTTCCAGATCTCCCAGGAGCCCAAACTACAGTGACAGAGAGAAATTGTCCACTTCTCCCAGCCTGCACCTCTGACCTGCCCACTCAGCTCACACTAGGTCAGAGAAGCGGAGAGGGCCAGTAGCTGTCACAGTTTATCCAAATAGTACCCCCACCTGAATTGAATTCAGGTTCCTCTTCCACAAGCACCCCTCCTGATCATCAGGGCTTTGTAAAACTTGAAAGCTTATCCCAGATTTGGAACATATACAAAATAAATAGGTACTATAATCTACAAAAATACATGCACATTTTTTTGTGTGTGCGTGTGGTGCTAGGGACTAATCTAGGGCCTTGCACATGCTGAGCATTTGTTCTACCACAGAGCAATTTCCTCAGCCCCAATCCCATGTTTTGCTAGGAAGTCTACTAGCCTATACACTCTGAGATCATTATTTACTTCTCAGAATCTCACAGGTACCATTTAGAAGGAAACATAGAGTTTGTCTAGTCTGATCTGCGCCAGGTATGTTATTTCTTCTTTTGTTACGAGGGGAACCCAGGGGTACTTTACCACTGAGCTACATCCCCAGCCCTTTTCATTTTTTATTTCAAGACAGGGTCTCGCTAAGTTGCTGAGGCTGGCCTTGAACTTCCAATTCTCTTGCCTCAGCTTCCCAAGTCACTGGGATTATGGGTGTGTACCACCATGCCTGGCTGTGAATTTCTTCTTTAATATCCTTGCCACATGGTCATTCATTCTCTGCTGGAATACCCCCAGGGACAAGCAGATCATCACCTGACCCATTCCATTGTCAGGGCAGCTGAGCTTCCTAGAAAGTCCTCTATAAAGTGAGCTGTCATTTGCCTCTACAACACCTAACATTTTATTCTTAGCCCCTCTGGGTTATGCGGAATACATCTAAATCCTTTTAGAGCTGATAGTCTTTCCTATATTAAAAAGGCAGCATGGTGGGTGGGGATGTGGTTCAGTGGTAGAGCACTTTGCCTAGCACGCTCGAGGCCTGGGGTCCATCCCCAGCAACACACACACACACACACACACACACACACACAGCATGGAACTGAGGAACAGAGGGAAGAACAGTGACCATCCTGGGGTCACTCCTGTCACCACTGGGCTCCCTCCTTCTCTCTCACCTCACCCCACCAGGCCTGAGTGAAGTAGCCTCACCTTGAAGATGACCCGGATGTTCTCTCCCAGTGGATCCACATTCTGGAAGGCAAGCTTGAGGGGGACTGCATTGGAGTTGAAGTAGGAACAGTCCTGCATGGTAGAGAGGGCAGTGACCAGGCTCAGGTGATCCATGCCCAGGAAGGAAGATGACCTCTCCCATTGGATCAAGATGCTGCCCACCCTCCTGCTGTCAGTGCCCCCCAAGACCTGCTCATGCCCTCTCCTCACTGCCCTTGTGTCTTCGGCTTGTTAGGACCTCCCCTCCAGCGCCTCATCTCTCTCCTTCCAGTCACTCCTTTTAGTTTCCTGACTTCGCGTGAGTCCCACATCTCATCAACCTCAGTTTACTCCTCTGTCAAACGAGGATCACAACAGGACGACTTCTCGAGAGTCTTAAGGATGAAATGCAGAACAGCGCCAGGCAACGGGTGTCGGGAAATGACAGCCAATAGCTACCACCATCATCACCTTCCCCAACGTCATCCCCAACACCCTTGGGGAGAGACACTGACCCAGGCTCACCCAGCACAGTTGCCAGGTCCACACACATTAGGGTTAAGAATTGAAGAGGCCACTAATACACTTTCCCTCCTCTCTCTCTCTCAAGAACCAGGTCAGCAAGGACCTCATCTTCACTGAGCCCTCCCCACTCTGAGAGCCCCAAACCCACCACCAGTCACTCACTCTGGGCACGATTCCCTTCACCAGCAGACTGGGGCTGAGTGGCAGGCGGCATGAGCCATTGAGGGCAAAGAACTGCTTCACCTCCTCCAGGCCGGTGCGGAGGACTCCCTGGCAGGGAGCGGGGGAGAGTTGGGGTGAAGTGAGGGGCCCACAGGCTCCACACAGAACCAGGCCTCTACCAGGGTAGGTGCCTAGTGGTACTCCTGAGAAGTATGGATAACATCCAGGAGACCCATGGGAAGCAAAACCACCCGCACTATATTCTGACTTGGCTCAGTACGTGAGCAGCAAGTCCAAATACCTACCCAGGCAAGGCAGACAGAGAGACAGTGGGGAGCAGGCCACAAAACTGAGAGAGCAGGTGAAATCACCAAGGGAAAGTGCTGCCCAGGCTTTACCAAGGGAAGCTACCAATGTAGACTTTAATATAAACATCTCTCAATTTTTAGATGTCAGCCACCAGGAATGCTGCTGCTGGCCTAATATGGTGCCTCATGTAGACAGATGAATGAGCCTCTGGCACCCTTTCCAGCCCTGAGCATGGCTCACAGCACAGTGAACAAAATATGACTGGATTTCAGCCCTCACTTGCCCCTTTGGCTGCTTTGTGCAGAGAGCATCTTACATACTGTGCTTAGCCTCGGAGGCAAATGGCTAAATAAAAATTTCGATATTTTGCAAGGAAAAAAGAAAATCGTACTGGTAGACTGTATCCAGGTTGTAGACTATCTGTTTGTGGCCTGTGGGTTATAGACACGGTCACCTCCTTCTAGCTTCTAAATCAGAGATGGTCAAGTGCCATCCTGCTGCTCAGAAGGCTTAGAGGTAAACTACTGGCCACAGCAGCTCCAGACTAGAAATGGAGACAGGTAGAGGCAGCCCTGCCCACTCACCTGCCTAGCAGATGGGGCGGCCTCCCGGACCTGCTGGGCCAGCTTGGCCAGGGCGTTGACAAGCCAGCACTGACGGTTAAACTCCTCCCTCAGTCCCTTGCCACAGCAGCACAACAGCGCTGCCAGCAGATACTGGTATCGGATGCTGAACTGAGAGTCCTTGAGGCCGTCCTTCAGCAACCTGCAAGGAAGGGAGTGGGGTGGTCGGGCTGCTCAAGGGATCACAGGCAGCAGGTAGGGAAGGACAGGTCACACCCTGCTCCAGCTCCCCAGAAGATCCACCCCATGGCCAGGAGAGAAAATATACTCTGAATGCTCTGCTCACCCAGCCACCCTGCCTGAGTAGAGCTCAAAGCCCCGCTGAAGCTCTCTGCTGTGGGTGGGAGTTACACAGGGGTGAACTGAGATCTCCCTGAGGAAAGATGCTAGTCCAAGGCCACATGGCAGCTCAGCCATGTCCTGGAACCCAGATCACTCAGCTCCCCACACCTACATGCCTAGGGGTAAAATACTCTTGTATGAAAAGCATGTCTACCTCCCACCTTTCTGCACTCGCTTTTACCAGAAGAAGTAGTGAGTCACTCTCAGGTCAGAGACAGCTCGTTTCAGGAGGAAGCGCACCAGAGGGCTGTCCAGGTAGCACTCATACTTCAGGGCCTGCTCAAGAGAAAACAAAGCAAAGCTTTATTAACTGCCTGAAATCTGGAGACCCTGGGTTCTCAGGGACAGTCTGCAGACTGACTTGGGGTCTTGGGGACCAGACTATCAGAACCAGAGGGAAGGTCAGCCCACCCACCTGCACCAGCTGTGGCAGATAGTCAAGCAGCTCAGCATCTGAGAGTGAGCCAATCCACTGGACGGCCATCCGGCGCACCTCCTGATCCGGGAAGCTGCAAAACAGAGCCCAGTACCTTGAGGACCCAGCTTCAGGGGTCCTTCACACCAAATGCAATGTCTCCCGGGATCTGTCAAAGCCACTGGAACAACTAGCACCTTCTCTGGAAAGCAACTTTTGGGAATGACACTCCCCATGATCAGAGTCTACTACGGGCCATGGAGGGGCAGGAGAGTGGCCATGCTCATTCTTTAGGTGATTTAAATAAAATGGGACAAAGCCCTCCACCCTACTCCCAAAGATCTCTTCCACAAATTCCCATCACAGAAGAGCCCTCATGTGGGTTAAGGCATTATTTGTCTTGATAATATCCTTTAATGCAAAGCTTGCCAGGCAAATAACAGAGCTGCAGAATTTTATGTAAGCTAATACTTGGTATTGTGTGGAATTCATTTAAAAGAGATTAACAAAACCATTGCCTCAGACAGTCCTAAAGACAGGTCAGAGAACAGGTTCCTTTTGATCACTAAGAATAGCAAGAATTAAACTGAGAATCCTAGGTACCATCTAGAAAAGATAGTCCAGGGTTCTGAGACTTGGATCCTTTTGTCCCTAGAGAACTCTAGGGAAAGGGAAAGAAGGAAGACTATTGACATAGAAGTAAGCCACACAGGTTGAGCCTCAGGGCCTATGCATTTTCCAAAACTCTGCCAATGTACAGGTAAAGTTCAAGCATTGCCTTATACGTAAATGTTGACTCAGTAGAAAAAAACAGAACATTGAGCTCTAGTTGTGCTAAAGTATTTAGAAGGAAATTTACTGATGTCTGAAATTTGCTTCAAAATGCATTAAAAAATAGGATGGACTGACAGATAGAAGGATGGACAGATATACCATAAAGCACACAAAGCAAATGCCAATCAAAGAATCCAAGTGGTAGGCATATGGAAATTCACAGTGCAATTTTCAATTTTGTTAAGGAGAAACACAAAAGCCCTGACTATCTACGGGTATTTCACCATCTCCCCAGGGCTGGCCAGATCTGCCTGGGGTCAGGATGGGGGTGCTTCAACTCACGTGGCATGCAGGAGCCCCAGGGCATCCTGGTGGTTCATGTGGGTCCACTGTTTCAGGAGCGCATAGATGTCGGGCAGGCAAGCCCACTCCCAGCTGGGGGCACTGGCGAGCACCAGGGGCAGCGAGCTCACTTCCGAGTGGCAGTAATATCGCTTCTCCCACAGGCGCTTCTTGTCAGCATCAGTGAGCCTGAGTTGGGGGGAGGTTGGGGAGGGAAAAGGAGGGAAGGGGGCAGAGTCAGCCAGAAGGTGAGGAACTTCTACACACTGACATTCTGGGATTTCCCAACTTTGCTGCACAATATAGTCACCTGAGGCGCTTGGTGACTTTTCTGTGCCCAGGTCATACCCAAAGCCAATGAAGTCAAAATGTCTGAGCAAGCCAGATACCAGATGTTTTTTTAAAAGATGACCAGGTGATTCCAAAGAGAAGCAAAGTTTGGTAAGCAGGGTCCAAATCTCACCTTTGATGCTGACTCAGGGTCATCTCAGGTGTAGACCCAAAGAATGGGCCAAGGATACCAAACCTGCTTCCCCTCCTGGAGATGTGGTGAGGGCACCATTCCCAAGCAGAGCCACCAGAGGGCAGTGGACCCCATGCGTCAGGGTCTGGGCAGCTGAGGCCTCCTGGGGCCTCCGGGGCCAGCTGTCTGATTTACAGGCCTTGCAACTAATTGGGTCTTGCCTGAGATCAGGTGTCTAATGGAGAAGGGAGCTGAGGGGTTAATGAAGTGAGGGGTCAACAGAGGGATGGGAGCAGAAGAGGTCTACATAACTCAGCTACTTTGGCACCCTGGGTGGACATGAGCGAGAGAAGAAAGAAACAAGCCCACCTCTCTCATTCCCTGGCCCAGCAGGTGCACAGGGCTATGCAGGAGCCAGAGAGGTAGGTGGGGAACAGGTAGGGGAGGAGCCTGGCCCCACCAGCTCCTCCAGTGTGACCCCTCCTTCCTCCATCCTGGTGAATGCACAGCCCCAAGAATGAGATCAGCCTGGACTCATTTACCCTGAGAGCTACCAGCTTGCCTTGACACCTGATCCCTTTTAGAAAGTGACAGGGCCAGAAAATTGCAAAGGCTCTTGGTGTGGAAGGGGCAGGAGAGAGGCAGGGAGGTGAGACCAGCAGCCCCTTAGACCATTTGTCAGTTTATGAGGTGGGGGGGGTGCAAAGCTCTGGTCTTCTTGGCAGCTATGGCCTGGCCACACCCCAGTGTGGGCGTGGGCATTCTCAGACCTCATTTCCTAACCTCTCCCCTTTTCCAAGTGTCAGCTCAAGAGGAAGGTCTGGAGGCTGCCACTTTCTGTCTCGGTGGCAACGCCTATCCTGTCCCACCTCCACTCCCAGAGCAGGACAGGGACCAAGTGCTGAGGGGTAAGAGAGGGTCAGATAAAACATGAGAGACTTAGGGAAGCCTGAGCCACATATGGGGGTGTCCTGGCCCTCACCAGTGCAGGGATTCCTTCTGCATGATGTCCTTAAGCCTGCGTTGGTCTTCTTCTCGGAGACTGCCAAACTCATAGCGGGGGCTGAACTTGTCTCCAGTGGGGCTGGTGAATTTGATGTCAAAGGCTGAGGTGGGGAAGTCAATCTGGAGGATAAGCCCAGAAAAGTGAAGACAGGGGAGGCAGCCATCTCCTTGGGTCCCCACCCTCCCTCTCACAGTCCAGCGTTGCCTCCTTGCTCCATCCTTCCCTGTCTTTGTAAAATAACCCAGTTGGACTTGGTGATCACCAAGTCCCTTAGAGTGATAACTTTCAACAAAACACAAAGGAAACAGAGGGAGGGAAAGTGAGCAAGGGAGGAAGAAGTTGGGTTGGAGAGGTTCCTGGGTGAGGTGTCGAGCCCCAGAATTTTGAACAGGTGCCACTGAGAGCATACTAGCAGAGGCTGGGGAGTCCTGAGGGTGCTCCTGAGGCCCTCAGGACCTGGGGCCTGCTGGTAGCGGAGACCACATGCTGAGTGGGAGTCCTACCAATTCTAGGCCCTGCAACACTAGGTCCTCGTGCTCTGTGCCACCAGGTGTCCTCCTGAAGTGGATATCAGAGCTCACTGAGCCAGTTCTCCAAAAGGGTTCTACTTTCCTCCACTTGACAAATGTTTACTGAGCCCTGATTTGGTGCATTATTCTAAGCCTCGGGTACACAGCAATGACAGAGATCAAAACACCTGGAACATCCACTCTGTATCATTCTATTCCATTCTCTGCCAACTGTGATTTTTCCCTATTCCATACCAAAGCATCTCACGGTCACAACAAAGGGGAGCTGGGAACTAGTAACTAACTGGACCTAGGATCTAACAAGCTCCCCTCACCAGAAGAGGTCCACCCTGCAAATGCACTGAGTGAGCAGGAGGGTCAGGCTTCCCCTCAGGCCCCAAGAGGCGAAGCTCTGATTTGATGACATTTAGAAGCACGAGAGTTCAACACGGGGACTCTGATAAGCAGAGCCCTGGATGGGGAAGGTCTCAGACTCCACCTGCAGGCTCCCTGAAATCAAAGTTGACCTCCAGGAGATGGGAGGCAGCAACCACAGCACTCAGCCTCTAACCACATTCACCCAGTGGCTTCCGTTATGCCATCACCCTGTGCCAAGTTCTAGCACTTTCTACTGTCCCAAACCAAACTTCAAGGGGGAAAACTTGGATCTGACTCTGAGGGTGTCCGATGTGGGGAGAGAAGGACTGGGGTCTCACCTGGAGGATGACACTGTCTGGCTGGTGGAAATTAGGTGCACTCCAGCGGGCACTGGGGTTTTCCTGTGTTGCTGGCCACAAGCCCAGAAGCTTCCGGCCACAGGTCAGGACTCTAGGCGGGAAGGAAGGAGGGTGAGATGAGCCAACAAACCCACAGGCTAAGTGGACGGCTTCCCTCCTGCTCCCCAATTCAAAAATCTGTCTTCACTATTGGAAGCCACCACCCTTCCTCACTTCTACTCCATAGACTGAGGCCTCTTCCTTCCTCCAAGCTTACCCCTCCAGGAGGCCCCCTGAGCTGACTGCTCCCTGGCCTGAGTGACCTGGTGGTAGAGATACCTTCGTAAGGTAGAGAGGCTGGGCTAGATGACCTCTGAGGTCCTTCTAGTGACCAGACCAGGTGACATGTTACTGAAGCATTGCTTTCCCATGCTCCCTTCCCCACTACCTGCCAGTCTGTGCCACCAGTCCTGTCTAGTGCCTCTTGGTCACATCAGCAGTCCTGGTCACTATTTCTGTCTTTTGGCCCTTCATCCAGGATGGGACCAAAGGGACTCCAAACTTCACCAGTGTGCTCCACGTAGCTAACTCTCTTGAGGGACGCTGGCTAGTCCAGCACTCAGCCCCCTGTCTCCCTCCCGCTTCTCCCTCCCAAACCAAGAAGCTGCTACCCTGGGGTTCACATACTGCCTGAAATTGAAGAGTGGGGTAGTGACCCAGCCCAGCGCCTCAGGTACCCGTCGCTGCTTATTGGCCTCTGAGGAGCTCCCAGGTTGGGGGATGGGCAGAGCATAGAGAGTGGCACACAGTAGGGTCTCCCGAGGCAGCCGGTTCACCTGCACTGGGAAGCAGATCCTAGGGAGGACAGGAGACCAAATCAGGAGGCTTCAAGGGACAGGCAGTCTGGGAAGTCAAGTAGAAGCAGAGAATTCTGCCTCCCTCTTAGGGTGTCAGAGGTGTGTTCCTGGATGTTGCGAGGGGAACCTTCTTGATGAACCAGGATGGTCCGAAACTATGCAAAACCTCTACTAGAAGCTCCTGGAAGCACACAGTGTCTCTGGGGCCAGTAGACACAGCCAGCAACAGGAACTTCCCTGATTTCAAGACTATACCTGGTACCTGACAGGACTCAGCTGGAGCCACCTCAGAATCCAGCCTCCTTCCCTCGAGGGCAGGACTGGTGTGGAGGGTCAGCAGGGCTGCTCCTGTGTCCTCTCTTTCCATTTGACAGTCCCCTTCCCCCCACCCCCGCCAACCCCGATAAGAGACACCAGGAAGAAGCACCGTGTTCTCTGCCCTCAGTTCACCCTCCCCCACAGCCCTCCCCCTCATCGGTGTCCCTTCTCCTAGCTCCAGGGACACATGGTGGTTTTTTCTCACCCCCAACAAACTCAAAGCTAAAGGGACAAAGCGAAGGGGCTTCTTGAAGTCCCCAAATGGTCAGAAAGCCAACTGGCAGGGACAAAAGGAAAGGACTGAGAGAGGCAGGCCGCTGGCTCCACGCGCCCAGATGTCCCCTCCTGGGCAGCTCTGCCTGGATCACACCCGCCACTCCCTGCGCTCAGGATGAAGAGCTGCAGCTGGGGGAGCTGTGGAAAGAGGGAGGACCCGCCATACCTTTCCCGGAAGTTATCCCTGGGCCAAAGTCCACACTGCCACACCCTCCTGCTGCCCAGGCCCAGCAACTTTCACACCCAGAGGGCACAGAGGCAGGAGGCCACCCCCAACGTCAGCAGTTTCAGATAAAACAGCTCCCCTGCACCCACAGTCCCTTGCCAGTCTCCTCCAGGGGACTCTCTACCTAGGTGAGGTACTGCTCCTGCCTGTCGCCACAGACTGGCACAGCCCGCTGCGTCCCAGCTGCCGCTACCCTGGGGGCCCCACAGCTATAATTAGGGCCCCTCCAGCAGCCAGAGAACATGCCAGCCAGGGTTTGGCTAGAAGTGACAGAGCATGGGCCTATTTTGAGAGTTAGCTGATCCCTGTACTGCGGCAACGGGAGACAGAACCAGCTGACCCTGATGCCCAAGGAGAGGGAGCTGGTCTCCAGCCCTTTCTTGCCGCCCAGGAAGGGAGGAGCTTCCAGCAGTGTCTTAAGGAAAAGGAGAATGAAGAGACTTTCTTGCTGAGACCATAGCACTAGATGCAACAAAGGCACCCAGTTCCTCAGACCCTGAATGTATCTGGTATGCCTGTCCCCAGGACATTCGCCCAGGGTGGCTCAGGAAAACCACCAAGTTGCTGAAGACCTGAACTTCCTGCCTGCCACCATTCCTCAACATCACATCTTCAGGACTGCCTCCTCCAGGGGGGACTCCCAGAATGTGCTGGCAGGTCGAGTCCTGGACTGGCCACTCACAGTCTGAGCCCACTTAATTTATACCTCTGGCCCCACAGTGTCCTCATCAGGGAAGAGGAGAAACAGCTTCAGTAGTGTGACATGAGCACATACTCTGTACTTCTTGCTATGTGACGCTGTGGTCACTGCTCTGAAACTAGGCTACACAGATACTGTTTCCATGCACAAATACTTCCATGTGTCAATCACTTTATCAGTCACCTGGAACAGAGAAACTGGAACTGAGAGGGCCCCCCAGCTAAGAAGACCACAATGAAGAAGAAAGCATTTGCTATGCACTGGGCGCTGAGCCAGGTATTTTACTTACAGTTTCCTCCTAACTGCTCCTCCAACAACCCTGTAGGGGAGGCCCTATTATTGTCCCCATCCTAGAGTGAATGGCTGCCCAGGATGGCATCTATAGTAAGAAGGAGAGGACGGTAGGCCAAGCTTGTGCTCCAAACCCCCTAGTTTGGTGCCTTCTCCCGAATGCCATGGTCTTGACTAAGAAGGGCCCACATGTATCAGGTGGAGCATCTGGATTGCAGGGCTGAGATCATGCCCTCCACAGGGCCAGCAGCGCCCCAGGAGACTGGCCCTTTAGATTCAAGGTGGAGATCTCAGACCTGGAACAGAATGAGACCCACTGGGCAGGCTGGGCGGATTCTGTATTTCTGATTCTGTCTGAGAAAAGTATCTAAAGACAATTTCTTGTGGTTCTCCTGAGCCAGAACACTGTAATAGCACCGCTCTCCTGGACATCAGCAGTAACTAAGGCCAAAGAAATCCCAAGGGGATAGTGAAATTCAAGGGCCATTTAATGGAATGATCCTGTGTCTCCAAGGAGTATCTCCAGCCCTGATAGTTGTCGGATTTACCAGCAACTGCAGTTATTGCTCTAAGAATTACTTAAGTGTGAGGCTGGGGTTGGAGCTCAGTGGTAGACCACGTGCCTTACACACACCTAGCATGTGTGAAGCCCTGGGGTTCGAGCCTTAGCCCCACATAAAAATAAATAAATAAAATATCGCATTATGTTCACATCTACAACTAAAAAAATAATTTAAAAAAAAGAATTACTTAAGTGTGAAGGTTTGCCCAGTTGTCCATCTGTAAAATGTCAGATTCCACCCCTCCCAACATTTGCAGACTCTTGACTACCAATTTGGTTGTCTTTGGCCTCTCCAAAGACCCTCCTTGGTCTCTTTAATCTGCACTCCAAATACCTGAGTAGCATCTGCAAAGGAGGACCCTGACAGTCAGTCTGGGGAAGGGAAGCTGGGAGCTGCAAACAAGAGGTGGTCTGACCATCTGGAGGCGGGGGAATTGGAGACAGCACAGACAAGGCACAGGCAGGCCACACCTGCCGTGCCACCTCACCTCAATTCAAGGCCACCTCACCTCCATTTTCTTCCTGCTTTGCTTGGCTGAACCCCACCTTCCTGACATCAAATTGCCATTATTATTAAATGGTAATCAATATTATCTTTTTAAAAAAAATTTTTTTTAGTTGTAGTTGGACATTTATTTATTTATTTATTTTTATGTGGTGCTGAGGATTGAACCCAGGGCCTCACACATGGTAGACAAGGGCTCTTCCACTCGGCCACAATCCCAGCCCCCATCAATACTATCTTGTATTTGTGATTTCATATTTACAACCTGCCTACCTTACTTCAGTGCTGCAACTGCCTCCGAATTAAGCAAATGTCCCCATTTCTCATTTTGAGAAACTGAGGCACAGATGAGCTGGAGAAAATGTAGGATTAGAGTCAGAACTAGAACCAGAGCCTTATTCCATGGCTCCATCTCATTTCTCCAGAAAACCTCCCTTCTCTATCTGTGGGGGACAAAGCTCAAGATCCTTGGCCTTTTCTTTGTTTTTGGCCCATCCCCACCTCCCAGTACTAAGGATTGAACCTGGGGCACTCTACCCCTGAGCCACATTCCCAGCTCTTTTTATTTTTATTTATTTATTTTGGTGCCAGGGATTGAACTCAGGGGCACTCGACCACCGAGCCACATCCCCAGTCCTATTTTGAATTTTATTTAGAGACGGGGTCTCACTGAGTTGCTTAGTGCCTCACTAAATTGCTGAGGCTGGCTTTGAACTCGTGATCCTCCTGCCTCAGCTTCCCAAGCCTCTGGGATTCAGGAGTGCGCCACCATACCCGGCTCACTTGTGACCCTTTTGTCTCAGCCTCCCAAGGACCTGGGATTACAGGTGTGTACCACCACCCCCAGCCACCATTTGCCTATTCTAAGGGAACTCTGGGAAGAAGGGAGAGGATGAGAGTCCCCCAGACTAGTTAAACTCTTTAAGAGAGACAAGATCAAAGCAACGAGATATTATTTAAATTAACAACTAACAGTTACATGGCCCTTTATAGATTGCAAAGAGCTTTTATGGACACGATTCATTGGATCTTCCTAACAACTTGAGAGGTAGAAATTTTACATGTCCCCATTGAAGAGTTAATGAAATGGAGACTTCGGGGTTGATGAGTGACTTGTCTGGTTAGGGTAGCAAGGGAGCCTGGTTTAACCCAGGCATTCGCCCCCAGTCTGTGTCTGTTCATTTGCCCAAGAACATTCCCAGGGATGAGCAGATCCACAGGAGCCGGGGTGGGGGGATGGGGGGACGCTTACTGCTGGTCCCAGATGATTAGGTGGAAGAGATACTTGGAGAAGTGGGCTCTTCGGGTCTGCAGCGGGCTGCACAGCTCCTTGCCGCCATGGCTGAGGGAGCAGGAGAGGTAGAAATCTTCATAGCTACGAAAGACAGAAGGAAGTCAACTCCCAAAACCCGTCTCAGTCACCCAAACCTTTGCATCCCCTTCCTGCCAAACCCCACTTCCCCCCAGTAGAAGTGCTCTGTTTCTGGAAACTGAAACATGGGTCAAGGTCAGGCCAACCAAGCATTATTGGAGGAAGCATGCTCAGAGAGAAGTCTGAATCCCTCTGCTGATAGCAGACTCCCAGCTGAGCACTGAGATTTTTCTTCCTATAACGGGAATGGCCATCCAGCCCACTCTTCAAGGTCAGCTTCAGTCCGGGGTGTGCCCGAACACATACGCATGTGTATGTTTGTGTGGGTGCGTGCACGCGTGTGCATACATATGCGCACAAGAAAGCGGGTGGGGGAGGAAAACGACATATGCGGCCATGAATGCCAACACATGGGGGTCCCTGTGGCTCATGACAGGTGCCTGACAGAAGAGGTCAGAGAAGGCCCCGGTTTCCCAGGCTGCCTCCTTTGTTCTCTGCCAATCGCCCAGAGGAATACATTAAGTGAGGAACAAAGAGAGAAGGGGAAGGGAAGAGAGGGGGAAGGGGCCCGGTAAGAGTGGGGTGGGACCAAATGCCTATTCCCCCAGGCCTCGGATGCTGGGGACCCAGTGGAGGAGCTAAGGATTACCAAATGAACGGTCTCCTCCACCCACCCACCCCTGCAGGCCTAAGGAACCCCAGACAAAGGGTTATCCCCCACCTCCCCGCCCCTCCCATTGTGCTGTCTGCAGGGGAGTGCAGTCATTGGCCTGGGGCACGCACTCTATCTGGGAACTGGCCATCTGTCGCATGTCTCCCTCAGCCGGCCTTGGATCTGGAGGGGGCAGGGATGCTGAGGCAGACAGCGCTGAGAAGGAATGGCAGGTGCTTCTCCATCTCGGGAGGACCTTCACTCTCAGCAGTGTCCCAGCCTGGATTCCCCTCGGGCACTTGGCTCACCCCCTCAGCCCTGTTGTACCATAATGCCACACATCCTAGCACTGAGTGTCATGTGAGGTCACTCGTAGGTAGACAGAAGGGGAGAAGCCAACAGGAAGTTAAGCTCAGGTGGCTCTCTAGAGGGTACTGAGCATCAACTCACCTGGTAGCCCAGGTGATGGGGATACGGTGGGTGGCATAGACAGTGAAGGCTAGGGCCCCAGAGAAATGGCAGGCCTCCTGGACTAGATCATGCTTGCGGCTCCCAGGCACTGCGGTCTGGAAGTCTGCGTTGAAGGTATTGCAGTACAGCTCCACAAGGTCCAAGATGGCCGCAGTCAGGGCCTCCACGACCTTCTCTATGAAAGAAAGGGGTCAGAAGGAACTATGAGGCCTCGGCAAGCACCATCTTGTCATCGTGGCACTAGCCAGAACGGGCAAGTCTAGGATAGTGGTCCCCAAATGCCCGTCCGTTCCTAACTGCCGTGACAAAGCTCACTCATGTATGGTGAAATGGGAAAAGAGGGGAATGTGGTTGTGGCTCAGTGGTAGAGCACTTGCCTACCCTGTGTGAGGCACCTGGATTCCATCCTTAGCACTACACAAAAAATAAATAAAGTTATAAAAAATACAATGACATTATTTTAAAAAGGAAAAAAAGAAATGGGAAAAGAGAAGGAGGGTATCCTGAGCTTTGCATAAAGAAATAAGCTACTTGGTTTCAAACATGGTCCTTGTTTTTACATATTACTGCTTATATTATTGTGTTCAAATATTCTTCCTTTTAGCAAATGATAGTATTGAGAAACTGTCAGTTGTTTCAAAAAGTCATTTCTTGGCAAAGTCAAAAGCTCGCAGGGTTGGGGGAGTAGCTCAGCAGTACAGCACTTGCCTAGCATGTGCAAGACTCTGAGTTTGGCATGTGGAGAGAAAAAAAAAAATGCTGGTGATTCTGTGTTGGTCTCCCAAATACTTTTTGGGGCATTTTATTGGTCCATGACACCTAAAAGACTGGGAATCACGGTACGATTTCCAGCAACATAGGCTTGTAAGGCAAAGTTCTGTATTAAAGTCTCAACAGGGAAGTCCTAGAGAAATCCTAGTGAAAAATCCTTTCTCACTCTCCCAAGATCTGTTCTAAATTGGAACCGTAGGGGCTGTGAGCAGCCTGGAGAAGAAGCACAGCCTACGTACTTACGTGGGAGCTTTCCCATCTGGGTGGGAAGGCTGGCTGCACCTCACTCCTCCCCCCCCCACACACACACTTATCCCACCTCATCACCCCTTCCAGGGACACCACAGGAATGACTAGCAACAATAATGAGAAAATGATTTGTGGAAAGCAATGTGGGCTCCAGCTGTGTCCACACCTCGCAGGGAAACACACACACACACACACACACACACACACACAGAGCAGGCCAAGCTCAGCCACATAAATCAAAGAGGCAGAGCTGGCAGTTTCTAGCTGCTCCTAAGGGACAAAGAGGGACAGCAGTCCCCTTACCTCGGTTTTCCCTCACTGCCAAGATGCTGGGATCCTGTTGGGTAAAAAGAAGAGGGAGGGAGCTTCAGGACCGTGGCCTTTTTCATCACAGCTGGAAAAAGGGCTTTGTACAGCTGCACTCATCTGGGCCAGGCTGGGCTGAAATGTGAGGAGCAGAGACTCCCCAGGGAGGATGGAGTAATGGTTTCTACCAGAGTCGCATGATGGACAGAGGGAGCTGATGGGGATAAAAATCGTCATAGCATCCACCCTAGTAAAAAGCCCAACCCCAGGCCACTCGGCTGAGAGGATCACAGTGTCTGTGTCGCCGGCCCCATCTGCACGGCACACAGCCCCCGCTGTGGCGTCACAGAGCCCCTGGCTCTTGGGACGTTCTCCTCCGGGTTTGGTTTTTGTACCCTGATGGATAAGCAGACCGTGAGGCAACGCCCGGGTGGTTGTGAATAAGCCTTCACTGGCCAGGGCTTGCACAATCTGTCCCAGGGGCAGGCCCCGGCCCACCCTCATCCTTGCGAAGAGGGGATGCACTTGGCATCCATTTTCCAAGAATTCTTGTGTTTGTACTGCTTAAAAGATAGAAGTAGCAAGAAGAGTCTTTTTAGCAAAAGGTCACCTAGTCACCCCAGCAACCAGCAACGCAATAACCTATGAACATTGCTCTCCCACTTCCCCACGTTTACAAATGTCCGGGCCTCTTTACCTTCTGGATTTTGGGCTGCATGCGGGAGGCACAGGGGGGCAGCTGGTTGAGAGCGCTGGTGATCTCAGGGGTTTCCACAGCAGCCAGGGCATTGCAGATGGCCTTGACAGACTGGACCACCCTGTCGGCCTTCAGCGGGAAGTCCCCCTGTGGGAGGCCACACTGTGAGGCTTGGCAGCTCTGCTCTCACACTGGTGGCCCCCAATCCTCCCCCTCCCCACTTAAATGAATGAGTCGGGAAGTGTAGGGGATAATGACTCTAAGGAAGAACTAGTGGAATCCATGCTTCGTGTTCAAACATCCCGCATCCGCAAACAGCAAACAATCTGGTGTTAAATGAGCCAGGCCCACGTTCCCAGCCCATTCCCCCAACCACCTCTCATTCCCAGCCTCATCGGTCTGCCCCTGGCCACTTCTACTATTCAGACATGCACAGGTCTCCCTCAGGGGCCTGCAGTTGGAAGAAAATCGATCTGTAGGGAAGAGTAATGAGGCCAAAGAGACCGTGCAGGCCTCCTTGCCCACTTTCTGATTTCTCATAACTCAGTACACAACCTCCAGGCCAACCCATCCCACTTCCATAGATAGCCCATTCTATACTCTTCCCCTGCACCTGGCTCCCATGTTTCCTCATGTGGAATCCCCTCTCCTGTCTGGCCCTGATTAATTTAAATTAAGGGCCAGAAAAAATTCTACCAGCTCCTTGACAAGGGCTTCCCTGTCAGTGGCCCTCTCCAGCACCCTCCAGGGGCTCCTCATTAACTCCTTGCTGTCCTTTTATCTCGACTCAACTATCGCTTTTTTCTAATCACACAAGCTGCCCAAAGGCTAAGAAATTTCTTATACTTTTCTATCCCTAGCACCTGCCAGCACAGGGAGGGCCACAATTCGCAGAATGGTCAGAGAACTCTCTCCTCGTCATTGCAAAGTTTAAGTAGAGGCTACTGGTGAAGGGATTCTGGCAGTGGGGAGAGGATGAGCTAGACACAGAGTCCAGCTCCCCAGAAGGAAGGATCCACGATGCTAACTAGATCAATGAAGCGAGAGTTGTTTTGATTTTTTTATTTGATTTTGGGGATTGAACCCAAGGGCAATTGACCACTAAGCTACATCCCCAGCTCTTCCCCCACACACTTTTTTTCCTTTCTAATTTTGAGACAGGGTCTCACCGATTGCTTAGGGCCTCTCTAAATTGCAGAGGCTGGCTTTGAACCTGTGATCCTGCCTCCCACTGGGATTACAGGTGTGCACCACTACGCCCAGCAGGGAAGGTTGTTTTTGAAGGTCACTTCAAAGCAGATTTGCTTTTAGCTTCCTGACATTTGGGCAAATGTTTATTCTCATAATTCTGAGGTGTGAGGTTCCTCACCAGTCTAGGTGGAAAGGGCGCTGGCCCCTCTGCATTTGGGACCTTCCACCTCCTGAGGGTTTTCTACCTGTGACACCAGCTCAATGAAACCTTTCAAGCCCAAGGTTCCTGAACACTGCTAGTGGGATGCACACGCCAATGCACATTCAAGTGTGGCACTGGGAAGACAACTCTAGTTCCCTTTGCTTGGAGATGTCCTACTCCAGAGACAGGGATCAGCACACACTTCCTGACCTACTTCTTCTATTTGGGAGCGGAACCCCTTTCTACACGCTTGCCAGCTGCTCTACAGCCAGTAGTGATCTTGGCTGGCCTGTGAGCTAGGGGGATGGAAAGAAGGACTCTGCCAGCAAGGTTTCAGCTCTACCCAGATGCCTGGTGGTGCTGGCTGGTCCCAGGAAGCCCTGGTAAGAGGCAGAGGAGCTTCCAGCAGCTCCCCTGGGCCAGCTGCAGGACATGTACTCACATCAGCCAGCAGGAAGGCATCCACCTCATTGTGGTAAGTGTCAAACAGAAGACTCAGGGCCTGCCTGGGAGTTGGGGGCAGAGAAAAATCACAGGAGAGGTCACAAAAGACCCAGCTCTGGCAGACCCATTCCTTCCCTCCCTGTCCTCTGCTCAGGGATTAGGCTCTGATGTCAAGGGTTCCCATTCTTTCCAGGTCCCCTACTCACCTGCTGATGGTCTGCTTGACTGGCCTCTCTTGTAGATGGATGAGGTAGTTCAAGGTGGAGGGGCTCTGGTCATCATTCACCTGTGTACAGAGCACTCTGCTCAGCAGGGGTGATGCCCTTATCTCAGCACTCCCACTCCACTCCCCTAACGTGCCCCATATCACTTCTCCACCTCCCCGGCGCTGGGCACCCAACAACCACTCCCCACACGGACCGTCCTGGCCAGGTCACTGCGCACGGCCTTCCGTTCCATGAGTTGTAGCCGGATGTCAACATCAAACTTGCGGCAGTACTGGATGTACTCGTGGCTGCCCAAAGCATGTTTGCTGGCGGGGTAGGGGGACAAGGCCATTAGCATCCTAGAGAGTCCTTGGGAAGAGATACATACCTTAGCCTTGGGAAGACAGAACCAGGAAGAAACCGGAGGAGTCCGAGTGGGGCTAGGACCTGTGTTGCAGGCCCTACCCTGGGCTCCTGGAAAATGTCATGGTGGAGTCGGGGAAGGCATAAGGATCTATCCAAACAACCCTGGGCTGTACACATATTGGCTGTCTCAGTGTTTAGTACCTGTGTTGTTATCACTGGTTCATTTCCAGACTGGGAACTGCTTGAGTGAGTGGGGAAGAGAGGGAGTTTCTCAGGGGACAGCTCTTTACACCCCATCTCTTAGCTTCGGTGTAGAGGACAACCAAGAGAGATCCACTGTGCCCAGGCTCTGTGTTCCTACCCTCTTTCTATATTAACGACTAAGACGCTGGTCCCAAACAAAGCAAATCCATCATGATTATTCTCACCCAAGTTGATTCTCTCTTCCTCTGGGGGTCCCGCCTGATTTGGACTTCCTAAAAACGTGCATACTATTCACAGTGTTCAAGCATCCAGACAGGAGACTCTCCTCCCCACCTCAATTTAGAGGAGGAGGCCTAGGGAGCCCCTCTGGGACCCAGCCCCTTCCTCACTTCCAAATCACACCTTAATCAGAAAGGAAACCCACAAGAAAGGGCAGAGGGAGTCCCACCTCCAGGCCAACACTGCAGCCTGGGCCAGGTCTCAGCAGCTGGGTAACAGAAGCCGGAAACGGACTTCCTTCCTCAGCAGAGCTGGGAATCTAGGCCAAAAATGGAGGGGAGGGGAGGGGAGGGGAGGGGAGGGGAGTGAAAGGGAGGGGAATGTGCAGAAGCCAGTGGAGGTGCAGGACTGGAGGCCAATCCAAATCCAGTCAGGATTTAGGGGATTCTCCACATCCTGAGGGGCCTGGCCTCTAATCTGGAGCCCAAACTGCTAAGACTGAAAAGCAGCCAAAGCCTGGGGGTAGGGAGGCGGGGCAGAGGGGCAGGCCCTGGCGGGAGTGTCTAGGAGGAAGGAAGAGTGTGGTGGGGGTGGGGGAGGTGGCAGGAAACCCAACCCTCCCCTAGGAGTGTCTCAAGGTCCTTATCTGAGAGCAGCCTGCATCCTGGACCAGCACTCCCCACCACCACCACCAATATCAGCCCCTCCTGCCAGGCATGGAATAGGAATCCTGAGGGGTTCCTCGGGACTAGCGATTTTCTGAAACTTCCAGAGGGTCCTTGCCACCCCTACTGCAGGGCAGTTGCCCTATGTCAGGAGCCTGTGGCTAGGTCAAGAACTTTCAGGAGGTGAGAGGCTGCTGGACCAGGTCTCCAGGGGCCTGCTTGACCTTCTCCGTGGAAGGCTTTCTTTGGGTGCATTTAAGACAGAGTGGAAGGGGTGTGACCCTAGGACCACTGACCCTGTCCCACTATGTTGGTAATATTCTACCTGGGTCTTGGCAGAGAGGCAGAACCTGACATCTCCTACTACTTCTGGACTTAGGGGCTTCAGGACTAGGGGTGCTGCAAGGGAAATGGTGGGACGTGTCTAATCCAGAGCCCCATTAAGACCTCTCTTTGGGCTGATCTTTTCCTGCTGGTATTCACTGACTGCTCATTGGGTCCCTCTCACATTTAATCCTCACCAATATATTTGGGGGGGTGCTGTGGATGGAACCCAAGATCTCATGCATGCTAGGCAAGTGCTCTACCACTGAGCTACACTCCCAACCCAAACCCTCATCATTCTTTTCTGAGGACACTGAAAGTCAGACTTCACAACGAGTTCATGGCAAGCCAAAATTCAAGCCAGCGTAATGGTGTTCCCAGCGCCCAACTGACCCACGATGGCCCTTGTTTCCTCCAACAGTGGAGGCTGCCTAGGGCTTCCCTGTCACAACATCATGACCTCAGACCCCTATTATTACCTCTAGGGGAAGTAAGGACATAAGTAAGAACCACATGGGGCATGTTTGAATGTGTCCCCGGAGTTGTGGGGCTTGTCAAAGACCCCACAATATCCCTAAGGTTGAAATCAGTCAAAAAAATGAATCTCCATTCCTGACTACCAATCCTGTGGTCTAGTCATGGGTGACCATCTTGGTATCTAGACCTGCCTGCAAGAAGGAGTGAGTGGCAGTACCCAGCAGGCTCTTCGATGGAAGGAGTGTGGCTTTCACCTTTCTCTACTCCCAGGGCCTGCTTCTTCCAAGTGGCTGGAAATGCTGGGCAGTGGCCAACCTGATCTGTCTGCTGCCACACAACTGTACCAGCCAGGGGTGGGAACCTTGCCTCTGCCTCCCCTGCAGCCCAGCCCTCCAGAGCCCTGGGGTAGCAGAAAGGGGGCTGCTTCAGCTGGTCCACATCACACTTTCCAGGGACGCTGCCTTCTGCAGAGGGCACTGGCTGAAGAGGAGCTGGAAGCCAGCCTTTGGGAGGAGGACAACCCGCTGCATGGGCCAGCGGGACAAAGGAGTGTTGGCAGGGGAAGGGGAAGACAGCAACTGTATTTTCTCCCCTAGGTTCCGCGAGGGCGCCTCTGCCTAGTCCTGCTACCTCAGCTGTGAAGACACCACACATCCTGTGGAGAGGAGAAACCACCCTCCCCCAGTATGCACATCTCTTCGAGCAGAAGTCTGCAAGCAGATAGGACCTCAACTTTGCCTAATCCCAGCTCCAAGCACTTTCCACAGCAGATTTGGCTTAGGATCCAGCCAACTCTGCTGGAAAACGGAGCTCCTGGGGAAAGTGCAACGTGGCCGGGAGTGTGCCCAGAAAGCAGGAGTCCTGACTGCAGGGAGGGGGCGGAGCTGCCAGTGCAGGAGCCTAGCCCTCTCCCAAGCCCTACACCCCAGGCCTCCAGAAGGCAGGTGCTGCCCCACCCACAAGCCTCTGCCCCCTTTCACTCACTTCTGAAGGAACTCCTCCAGCCCACAGGGCTTTAGTACAAAGTCCCCCACGTCCACTTCCCTCAGTTCATCGTGGGTGTAACACAAGGTCTGGTAGATGAGCAAGTCTACTGTGGAGGAGCCTGAAAAGAGCAGGGTGGGGAAAGCAACAGTGGTGGGCAAGGGGTAAGCAGGGCTCAGCCCCTATTGATCTCCTGTCCCCAGTAAGCCCTCTCCAACATCACTGCCAACCACATGATGCAGGCAAACAAACAGCTTGGGGTTTAAGAAAGTGGCTGTGGACACAGAAAGATGGCCCCGGAGCCAGTCTCTTTCCCACTGCTCTCCATCCCCATGGTCCACAAGGTGAGGTGGGATGGAGACCAAAGGTTCATAACTACAGTCCAAAACATAGCTACCCCTCCCCCAGTTCACATGCCCTCCCTAACTTACAGTTGCAGGTGAAAGTGAGTGGCTCCCGAAGGCTGTCACACAACACTGTCACCTTCAGGTTGACCTCATCCCCAAGGTGTTCTGGGCTTGGGGTTACAGCGCTCCAGACATATCCGGTGAGGGAGTAGTCTTGGATATCAGAGCCAGATCGAAGGCTGTGCAGGAAAAGGGAGAAGGGCCCTTGCTGTACCTTCAGAGAGTAGTCGACAAGAGATTTGTGGGAACCCTCCTGGCCAAGGGTCCCTCTGTCCCCACTCAGCTTAGCCCTCTGGGTCTGCAGGCCAGACTGGGAGCTGTGGGGAGGCAGCTTGTGGGAAACTGGCCTCTTCATTCTCTGCTACAGTTGCAAAATATTTCCCACAGTGGAACAGCAGAGAGAGTTCCAAATGACAAAGATTTCCATATTAAGTTTAACAGAAAACTCTGATGAATCCATTTCCTTTTTTTTTTTTTTTTTTTTTTCAAGAGAACACTCTTATTTTACCTGGGGTGCATCTGCTCCTAAGGGCCACTGAGGGTCAGGGCCTAAAGTGGTGAGGTCGACTGGACTGTTGGATGAATTTTAATAAAAATATGAGGCTTCTAAGATTTCAAAAACCCTGCAGACACCTGATCTGGGAGGCATCTCATAGCTCTGAATTGAGGCTCTTCTTCCTTCTAAAGTAAGTTCAGAAATGGGTGACCCTCCTCCCCCACCCCAATCCTCCAAGCCCCCACCCATTCTTGAACTCTTACATATCCAACATGTGGCAAAATGCGGCAACTTCCTCGTCTCTCTCCTCTGAGACTTCAAACAACTCGTGGCCGTTGGCAACAGTGTGGTGCCGGGAGACCACCTTGAAGGGAAGAGCAGCCCACTCAGTGCCTTTCCCCTACAGCACCCCCTTCCTGAAGGGACTCCCACATCTAGGGGTGAAGACTTTCCAGCTCTTCGATACAGTGAAAGGGGCATATGAAAATATAGAAAACCCAGAAATACACTTGTGTGCCATCCTGGGAGACCAACAGCCACATTAAAAGAGAAGAGTTGACGCTTGGGCTAAGTATGGAAGTGGGGTGCCGTGGACAAGTCTCTGACCAGCTCGGGGCAGCCAGGTGGGCCATGTGCGGCCATGCGGGGCGAGAGTTTTCTTGGGGAGGCTCCCAGAGGTGAAGTGGGAGCTGATCTGGTGGCCATTTATCCCAGCCCTTCCACTGAGGCCAGGGCAGATAGGGGTTCCAGATGGTCCCAGGAGGGGCTTGGCCCTCTGACACCCCAGAGGTGCAAAGAGAGCTAGATCTAGAGCCCTTTGGTAGATGATGACTCAGACACATGTGCCTTCTCCGTAAGTGCTATTTGAGGAAGAAAGTGTCAAAGCAGAGGTCTGGGCAGGAGAGAACCTGGGAGAAGGCTTGGCTCCCTCCAGCTGGCTCCAGAGCTTGCTGGTTCTGAAGGGCTGGAACTTGGACAGCCTGCCCTGGTTGGCCTACCTCTTCTCCCAGAGCATGGTGTGGTGCTGGGGTTGTCAGACAAGACCCACAACTGTTTCCCATCCATAGCTGCTCTCAGTCACCCAGGAGGGGCCTAAAGAAGTCCTCAAATAAGCCTCAAGGAGGAGAAAGTAGGGGCAAGTTGCTGACAGGTTGCTGCCTGACAACCTGCCCAGGTGGGCCATCCCAGAGAAGGAGGCCTGCGCTCCAGGGAGTCTCAGTCTGCTGCAGGAAAGGCAGCCGGTTCTAACAGCTGCTTCCAGGGCGGAGCCTGATGCTCGGGTCTGTGCACACCACACCACCAGCACCTCTCATCTCTCACCCTCCCCACTGGCTGTTTTCAGGTCCTCCCTGCCCCTCAGGGCAGATGTCGCAACTGAGCTCCTCATTTGAATATGTGACTGTTTTCTCTGGGTGACCCTCTCAGCAGCCTTGCTCCCCTGGCTGTGTGGGGTGGGGGACACAGAGGGGAGGGCAGTCGTAGGGGCAGTTGGCATGTGAGGCCCTGGCTCTGCCAAGTGCATGCCTGTGTCCCGGACAAAACAATAGAACCACTGTCAGCAATTAACCCACAAAAGAGAGAGAGACAGAGAGGAGAGGGGAAGCGAAGGCAGGAGAGGGAGAGGGGCAGAACAGAATGGCTACTGAAGGCCATTTTCATGCCCTTTCCGTACCACTCACTGGCACTGGAGGAAAACAAAAGCCACTTACGTTTGCCCGGCTGGCAGGCCCTGGTGCCATCTCCCGATGCTGGCTGGGGGAGTCTGCCAGGCAGAGGCTGGCAGCGGGGGTACCAGGCTGGCATTTGGAGCCAACCATTTCCAGAGATGGCTCAGCAGGCCTGGGATGAGGGTCCCTCCGGCTGGAAGCCCGGCGAAGGCGGGGTGGGGGTACAGGCCGAGGGCCCAAGGGATCCCCCCTCCCGGCGGGCTGAGCCCCTGCCCCCAGCTGAGGTGGGGAGGACCAAGGCCGCATTTCCCCTCCAAATTGGCAAGAGACGTTTGCTCTGCCCGTGCTTCTTCAAGGAGCCTCCAGCCAGGGCTCCCTCTTAGAACTCTGATGACACTCAGGATGGGGGAAGGGTGAAGGAGTAGAGGAGGCAGGAGAGAGGACAGAGCTGACCACCTCCCAGGGTGGCCTGAGCAAGGCCCAGCTCTGAGCAAGGAACAGGAATCTCCCAGTCCCTATAAATAGCGGGAGCAGCCCCACCTCTCAGAGCAGGGCCTTTAAAAAGCCCTGAGCTCTGGAGCGGTGGCTTATCCCAGGAGCTGGTTCTGCTTTTGGGGGGACTCTCTCAGCAGAGGAAGGAAGGACTGAGTAGCTCTTCAGAACTGGGATGGATCCCAAAGGCTGGGTGTGAGGTGGGAAAGCCCCAGTGCCCCTTGGACAATGGATAAGGAGGAAACGGGGATGGAATGAGGCGGAATGAAGAGCCACAGAAGTCGTCAGCCCTGGGGGAGGACGCCTGACACCTTGAGGCCACGGTGGGCAGGGCCAAGGGTGACACACAAGGCAGGCTTTAGGTCCCACCCATGGAGATGCTGTGGACACTTCTCTCAGCCAGAAACAGACCAAAGCTGCCCTGGAGCCCACCTGGGGCGAAACGGAGAGACTTTGCTACTTTATACTACATAGTGATGCAAGTCAAATTACTCTCATGATTCTATTTTTTTCTAAATATTTTCACTAGGAAAAGAGTGGGTGGGGATGGATAGCAGTGAAGCCACACACAATATGCGACTGTACTTGGTACAATGAACTGTACACTTAAAAATGGTTAAGATGATTAAGTCTTATGTTCTGTAGTTCTTACCACAACAAAAGGGACAGACAGGGGAGGTTGGGCACAGAGGGAGAGGGAGAGGGAGGAAGAGGAGGAGAAGAGGGGGGCTTTGGGACAGGAAGACCAGGGTTGGATGCCAGCTCTGCCATGTCTTGACGTGGGGCTTTGGACCATCAGGCAGGGTTGTTGTGGAGACCTGGATCGGGATCTGGTATTCAGTGAGCACTAAACAAGTGGCTGATATTATGAATGAGCCTCCAGGTCGCACAGCGCTTTGTCAGAGCAGGGCCTCAGGCACCGGAAACGACTTGCTTAAGTCCACAGGGCCATTCACCCAGAGTTAGTGACAAATCCCCTAACTCCTGGTATAGTCCTTACATGATGAGGTCAGCACATGCTAGGAACCAGGGTTCCAAAGCTCCTAACCCGAGAAAGGCTCTTTTGGCTAAGAGACACGAAGAGAGATTCATCAATAATCTGATGTAGGTGACATAGTCTGGGCTCGTGCCCATTTCTTCTTTACTGGTGTCCCTCTCCTGCCCCCCCCACAACACAATCAAGCCCACCTTGGACCTTTACCCACCAGGGCCCAGATTCCCGATGGCAGAAGAGGGGAGGAGAGGACTAAAGGGTGAGTACTTGGCAGATTTGAACTTGGAACAGCAAAGAAGAGGGCCTGGTCCTTGTTTCTGAATGACATGGGAAAAGGGGTAAAGAAGAAATACAGTGAGGTCCTCACCGGAGCAGCAGAAATCCGGCGGTTCTTGCCTGGTGTCGCATTCTTCCGGTTGGCATAGCGGGAGGCATAGGTTCGGGGAGGCACCTGAGGGGGCATGGTCTTGCTCCGAGCCACAGGTTTTCCAGGGGTGTCCTTGCTGAAATCCAGGGGCCCTCGGCCTTCCTTCCAGTCCCGAGTGGCATCCCGCAACATCTCCGCATCATAGGTTGACTTCAAGTTGAGCCTTGTAATTGCGTCATTGATACCATCATAATCCACAGACCCCAGCAGGCGCCCCTGCCCCCCATTTCCTGGCAACTCTTCCTCTTCCAGGATCCGGTGCCCCAACAGTTTGTTAGGGGGTTGTTCCACCAAAGAAAAAGTGTTGATGTCATTGGGCTGAGAGATTTTGGAGGATGAGGGGGACCCCTTTCTGGGAGGCAGGGGAGGGGTATCCCAGATAGAGACTCGGGGAGGCAAAGGAGGTGGGGACAGTTTCTTGCAAGAGTCATCTACATTCCCTGGTCCTGGGGACAAAGAGAGGTCCCTATCGGAACCATCAAAAATGTAGAGATAGTCTCCAGACAGTGAGCCTTTGGGCCAGGGATCTGGGCCAGGTTCGGGGCCCAGGGAGGTAGAGTGGTTGGGCGGCTCTTCCTGTGGGGAGAGCGAGTTGTAATTGAGGGTAGGATCAGAGCCAGAGAGACCACGTAACAGCTTGAGGTCACCCCGCCTTGCTGCGGGCTTGTGGTAGAGGTCTGAGACAGGCTCATCCCAGCTGATAAGAGAGGGTTCCAGGTTCTGCTTAGCCCTGCTCTCCTCCTTATCATGCCGGAGACGGGACAGAGCATCATACTCCATCTGCAGGGCTTCTGCCATGGCCAGTTCTTTGCGGCTGATCCCCACTGACTCCAGGGACTTCCAGTGCTCCCCATTGTCCTGAGTCGAAGACATGGTGAGGACGGGGGCACGCAACAGAAGGAAGCTTTCTACTTCCTACCAATGTCAGGACTGGAGGGCTGAAGCATGGTGTCTGGATACCTGCAGAGGAGGAGTAAAAATATCATTCAGCCACAAAGAGAGACTCATCAATCAGCTGATGTAGGTGACATAGTCTGGGCTCGTGCCCATTTCTTCAGTGCCTACCACAGATGGGAAACAGAGAGATGGAGGAAAAATGAGATACCAGGTCAACTTCATCTATTATATCCATCCCCCCACCCACTCATCTATACATGTCTCCATCTCTGGTCACTAACTCCTATCTTCATCTCTCTCCTGTATGCCCCAAGGAAAGAGAGGGGTGCCTTTCATCAGAGAAGAAGAAAAATTTAGAGGAGCCAACTCTCCAGTTTAAAGGGGATGAACGTGGTGGCTTATGCCCATAATCCCAGGGACTCAGGAGGCTGAAACAGGAGGATTGCCAGTTTGAGGCCAGCCCGAGCAACTCAGTGAGACCCTGTCCCCAAATAAAAAATAAAAAGGGCTGGGGATATAGTTCAGTAGTAGACCATCCCTGGGTTTGATCCCCAGAATTGCAAAAATAAAAAATTTTTTTAAAAAAGAGGACAATTGTCTAGGGATGTAGGAGGGCACAATGGCAGAGCACTTGCTAGCATGCAGGAGGCCCTGGGTTCAATTCCCACACTGCAAACAACTGGTAACCTACCCAAGAAAATTGAAAGCATATATCCACACAGATTTAGAAATATTCAAAAATATTCACAGAAGCCTTATTGCAATAATTCCAAACTGGAAATGACCCAAATGTCCATCATCAGGCAAACAACTTTTTAAAAAATGTGGTATGTCTATGTGTTTACAATTGAATACTTCTTAGCAAGGAAAAGGAATGAATTATTGATTAATGCATGCACATGGATGAAAAACAAATTAGCTATGCTGAGGGCTGGAGATATAGCTCAGTTGGTAGAGTGCTTGCCTTGCATGCAGCAAGGCCCTGGGCTCAATCCCCAGCAACACACACACACACACACACACACACACACACACACACACACACATCAAATAAGATAATATTCTATCCATCTACAACTACCCCCCAAAAAATTTTTTTTAAATAATAAAATGTGGCTCAGTGGTAGAGCACTTGCTTCTTTTCCAACCCCATGTATCGACACAACCCTCTTCTGCTCATGTGCCAACCACTGATCTCCTCCAGGGTGATGTTACTGGATTTCCCTTCACTTCTCTGTACTTCAACCTCTTGACCTTATGTGGTTTCTCTCTTCAGCCCATCAACAGGCCTCTTCCAGCCTTAAAAACAAAACGGGATCTGTCACCCCCACTACTTATAACCTAAACACCTTCCCTCGCTGCTTGGTCCTCTGCTCTCTTCCCTTCTCGCCATCCTTCACAAGAGAGCAGCAATACCTGATGTTCCCCAACTCTCCCTTCCCATGCCCTCTTTAACTGACTGTCATCTGGCGTTTCCAGCAACAATGCCCAGGCTGCCTGGCTCAGCAGGCACTTCCCTCTGCCCAGAAGTCCCTGCAGCACTTGGCTCTGCGGACCATCCCCTTCCTTCCTAAGACTCTGGCTTTCGATGCAGTTTTCTTTCTTGCTTTCTGCCTCCATCTGTGTCCTCCTCTCCCTCTGCCCAGTCCTGACATGCTGGTGTTGGCTCAGGTTTCCTTTCTTGGCCCTGTGTCACCACGCGACCCCCCTGCTCAGGCAGTCCCATCTATCCCACCACCCACAGGTGCTGGTTCTGAATGTGTATCCCTCCTTCAAGTTCATCTGCCCACCTGAATCTCAAAATCCAGATGGCCCAAACTGAACTGTCACCTTCTTTCCTCCCTACGCCCTGCTCCTCCCTCCTGATTCCTGAGAGGCATATTCTACCCCCAAGCTAGAAACTCAACAGACACCCTAGTGTCCTCCCTCCTTCAGCCCCCACATCCAATCACCAAGAACTGCCAAGTCTCTTCCCCTTCAGCACTTCCCCGGACTAGGGCTCCCTTCCATCCTAACAGGGCTGTCCTAATTCAGGCCCTTATCTCCTCTCAGTACAATAGCCTCCTAACAGTCCTTCCTCCTCCTAATCTTCCCATCTCCAAGGCTTTCTCTACAGAGCAGCCTGAGGGCTTTCTGAAGTGTAAATTGGATCATCTCACTCCCTGCTAACAACCAATCCTTCAAAGGCTCTCTATTTGACTCCTCCGCAAAGCCTTTATCATCTGCCCCCATCTCCCACTCACCTCCAGCTCATCCCCAACCCGTGATCAGTGTGTATTTGATCCCTCTGTGATGCGGCTCAAGTGCTAGCCCTTGAGTTTGGCTGCCCTTCCTGGTCCCGTTTGCCTGTGTGACTCTAACTCACCTCTCCGAGATTTGCTAAGAGATCAGGCTAAGAAGTCTTCTCTGAACCCCCAGATTGGATCCCTTCTTTCTGCTCCACACAGCTACCTGTACATATTCCAAACATGGGCTTAAATTATTTTATTCAAAATCACACATTTCGGGCTGGGATTGTGGCTCAGTGGTAGAGGGTTCTCGCCTAGCACGGGCGGGGCCTGGGTTCGATCCTCAGCACCACATAAAAATAAAGGCATTGTGTTGTGTCCATCTACACCTAAAAAATAAATATTAAAAAAAAAATTACACGTTTCGGGATCTGTCACCCCCACTAAGCTCCTCAAGATCCCAATTCACCTTACTTCCACGGAGAAAGAGGGTACCTGAACATTCTTGGAGAATATTGAATATAAGGGCAGAGGTTTGGTGTCTGGTGTCTGGTGCTACTGGCACCGACCGGTTTTTCCTGGCACCTCTCTATGTTTTTCCACATGGAGAGGCTGACCAGGATACAGGTGATGTCTTTCCTTAGAGTCCTTCAAACACAGGACTGGGTTTCAAAAGTAACTGGGCTGGGTGTGGCACCTGTAAGCAGGTGTACAGATAGGCAGGAAAACCCCCTGCAATGCCTTCCAGCTCTGAGATTCTTTGACTCAGACCTATGGATTCCCCAAGGTGAATTCCTCAGAGGACTCCAAAGTCACAGAAAATGCAAGGAAAAGCCCCAGGGGTGAGCCAAGCAGGCCCTGCTCCTGAGGCTTTCCCAAGACACAGGAAAGGCCGGCTACCCTCTGTAACCACCATCCCCCTGCCCCCCCCCCATCATGCAGGGAAGGAAGCCCAGCCTGTGCTGACACATGTCACACCAGGGGCCAAGCTGGCAGCTGCTCCTTCCTAAAGGCTCACACGGATGCTGAGAGAGTGGGACACGGTGACGGTGACGAGACAGGACAAACAGCATCCCCTGCAGGTCCACGAGAGCCACCTCCAAAGTGAAGTGAGCATTCAGAGACCAGCAGCCAGGCACAGGGAAAACCAGAGAGGGAAGCAGGAAGGAGGCAGCCACCAGTCCCAATGACCTTGAGACAGAGCGAGCTGGCTTGCTCTAAGCCCCAAATTTCATTTTCGGGGAGGGGGAGCCAAGTATTTTAGGAATCAGGTCTCCTATTTCCTGCCTCCTCCCTACCCCAATTCAGTTTCTCTGAAGCAGCCTCTACTGGGTTGACACATTGGAAACTGCTCTAGTCCCTTAGTCCTTAAGGGCTACGAGGGATTCCATTAAAAAAATACATATACACAGAGTCACATAGGTCTCAGGAGAGAAGGTAGGTGAGTGAGGGCCTCTGTCCTTCTCTTCCACAGCCCATCCAGGAAGAGGTATCTGAGGCCAGCACCGCTATCACACAACCCCAAGAGCACGCCACACTTTGTATTCTATATCAGTGGCATCCCGACAAAGAAACCAAGTGAATGGCGCCCCCTGGAGTTGTGCACATTGGCAGTCCTGTGTTCTCTCCTAGTGTCCATCTCTCAAGAGAACAGATGGAAATGATCGGAAAGGTCAGTTTCCTATCCCCACCTGCATGTGCTGCTTTGTGCTCACTTGAGCGCTCTCTCTCTCTTCTCTCTCTCTCTCTCTCTCTCTCTGCTTCACCACTTTGCCTCTAGTCATTCTCCTATGTAAACACGATGCCCTTAGCACACCTACAAAATTTCACATTGACACAACATGATCTAGCGTACAGCCCACACCTGAATGACTGCAATCATCATCTGGGAAATGTTTCAAACACATAAATTCCTGGCCCCTCCCGCTGGAGGCTCTGATTCAGTAGGGCGAATCCCTGGACTCCGTATATTTCCAGAGCACCCCCCACCCCACCCCCGCCAGGTGATTCAGAAGTGCAGCCAGATTTCAACCCACAGACGAGGGTTTCAGAACCCGTAGGAAGATAAGAAGAAACCGAACAGAAGGGGACATGTTTAGGCCGAGCAGGTCGGTGCCAGGGTCTAAGCAGCACCAGACACCAACCTCAGTCTACACAGCTGCCCACAGATGGCTGGGGCCTGGGAGGGAGGAAATGGGGTCAGGGCAGAGCCACACAATGGTTCAGAGTCAATGGGGGAGAGAAAGGGAGAAAGCCCTCCCTCCCGAGGAGCTGGCTCTGTTTGGAACCCCTGCCAAGGAGGGAGGGGCCGAGGGCACCACTGAAGCCATGGCAGAGAAGCTTCCTGCTCTCTTGCTGGAGGGCGCCGTGCCAGCGTTGCTCTGGCTCGGGACTGGGAGTACCTAAAGGGCCTGGGTCATCTCCCCACATCCTGAGCCATAGAACTGGATCCCAAAGGGTGTTGAGAATCAGGATTCAGGTGACTGTGGCACAATTCCAAGGAGCTTAGAATCTAGCAAAGGTGATGGACGCATATGTTAAATAATTCAATCCCCCCTTGGGGTATAAAACTGGGCGGCCCTGCGTGTCTCAGCCCATCTCCACTGGGCAGGGGAAATGGGGAACTCTCAAGCAAGATGGCGAAGAGTGGAGTCTCAAGCACCTGGGGCCTTGGGCATCCCACCATTTTAGTAGTTTTTAGGCAGGGAAGAGAACTCGGTTCTAGGACTTCCCTAGGAAGGGCCCCTCAGTACCTCCCCTCAGGACAGATAGGATCCAAGGGACTGGAAGGCATAAGGACTTAACCCCTTTGGCTTCTAGATTTTTCTCTTCAGA